GGGTAATGAGGTCGCGGAGGGGCTGGGAGTGGGGCCAATCCCGGGGGCGCTGGTGCAGGACTTGGGGAAACCTCTCCGCCCAAATCTGACCAGCTCCTCCCCCGACGCGTCCCCAGGGTCTCTCAGCCCCTGCACGAAGAGATCGCCCTGCACAAACGCCTGCGCCACAAGAACATCGTGCGCTACCTGGGCTCGGCCAGTCAGGACGGCTACCTCAAGATCTTCATGGAGGAAGTGCCTGGAGGTACCTGTCCCTGGTGGCGTGGGAACGGCCAGGGAGGGGTGGGGCACCCTGGGGGGAAATGAAGCCTAGTGTTTGTGTGGGTGGTGTAGGCCAGATTTAGCTGAGACAGTGCTGGATGAAGGTGTCTAGGCCATGGGTGTGTCTGGGCCTTGATGGGAGAGCTGTGACGAGTAAGAGGGTGCCAATAACGAACGCTGCCCCGTCTGCCCAGGGAGTCTGTCCTCCTTGCTGCGGTCAGTGTGGGGCCCCCTGCAGGACAACGAGAGCACCATCAGCTTCTACACCCGCCAGATTCTGCAGGGACTCAGCTATCTGCATGAAAACCGCATCGTTCACCGGGACATCAAGGTAAGCCTGCTGGGGGCGGCAGGAGGAGACTCGGCCCAGGTGCAGGCTGGCAGTTTAGACTAAGTGGGCAGACCCCTCGCGAAGGGTGGGGAGATTCTCAGGAAGATTCCCGAGAGAAGTTCAGATCTGAAGCCAAGCTAGATACCAGCTCCTAAAAGGGCATAATGGGATGGTAGGGGGAGGAAGGTGTTAGAGGCACGGTCAGGCCAGGATTCCCAAGACAGCTGGCTCGAAGGTTCGAGATGTGGTCACCCTTCCTAAGCAAGGGTAGTCCGTGGAGCGGTTCCTGGCCTGGTGTCCACTGAGCACAATGTCCACTCAGGGGGACAACGTGCTGATCAACACCTTCAGTGGGCTGCTCAAGATTTCGGATTTTGGCACCTCCAAGCGGCTGGCAGGCATCACCCCCTGCACCGAAACCTTCACAGGTAATAGGATTTGGGGGAGGTGAGTGGGCCGGCTGACAGGGAGCAGAACTCTTGGCACCTTCCTGGGAATGGTGTCCAGGGCAAGTGACTGAGCCGGGGAGAGTGATGGAATCTAGAATGGAGCTAGGATGGCTGATGAAGTTGAATTTAGTGCCTGAAACGGAGCACAGGGGTGTTGATGTGGGCCACAGCGGGTACCTGAGATCAGAGTGATGACACAGCAGTGCTGTGGGCGGTGATGCCAGGGTGTGGGTGATGAGTGAGGAATCTCAGGAGAGATGTTTAACGACCAGGATGATGATAAAATCTTTTTTGGAGGATGGAGTTCAGGGCGGGTGCAGGTGGCCAGAGAGGAGGGTGCTCCCCACCCACACAGTGACAAAGCGTTATTGCTACTGTTGCTGTCCTAGGAACCCTACAGTATATGGCCCCAGAAATCATTGACCAGGGACCAAGGGGGTATGGGAAGGCGGCTGACATCTGGTCCTTGGGCTGCACTGTCATCGAGATGGCCACAGGCCGCCCGCCCTTCCACGAGCTCGGGAATCCGCAGGCTGCCATGTTTCAGGTGAGACCCCTCTGGGGCCCATGAACTGTGGGGGGCACATACCGGGCCCTGAACACTAAACCTCACCCTTCTTTACCTTCCTCGGCCCCTGTCACAGGTGGGCATGTACAAGGTGCACCCTCCAGTGCCCAGTTCTCTGTCAGCAGAGGCCCAAGCTTTCCTCCTCCGAACTTTTGAGCCAGAGCCCCACCTCCGAGCCAGTGCTCAAGCACTGCTGGGGGACCCCTTCCTGCAGCCTGGGAAGAGGAGCTGCAGCCCCAGCTCCCCTCGACATGTTCCAAGACCCTCAGGTACCACTTGGGAGAAGGGAGCCCGCGGGGGTGTGGAGCTGTGGAGGTGAGAGGACTGAGGGGCCCAGGCTGACAGTCTTGTCCCTCCTTCAGATGCCCCTTCAGCCAGCCCCACTCCTTCAGCTGACTCAACCACCCAGTCCCAGACATTCCCACGCCCTCAGGCACCCTCTCAGCACCCACCCAGTCCCCCGAAGCGCTGCCTCAGTTATGGAGGCGCCAGCCAGCTCCGGTGAGAGCCCCGGGTCCTGGGGTGGGTTTGCTTCCTCTCGCTTTGCCATTTTACTTCCTCTAGAAAAAGCCCTCCTTGAGGGCCTGGGCACGTCGCCCACTTGCAAGGAAGCACTTGGTGCCTGCCCCCGCTGCTCGTACTTGCTGTGCCTTCTTCGCGCAGGGTCACCCCTTTTATCGCTTTAGACAGGCATAAAGTAAAGGAGCGGGGTGCAAACCCTGGGGCGAGGTGCTGCTGCCCACTCTCCATCATCTGCGCCCCACCCCACCAGGGTCCCTGAGGAGCCCGGGGCTGAGGAGCCCACTTCTCCCGAGGAGACTTCGGGGCTGAGCCTGCTGCACCAAGAGAGCAAGCGCCGGGCCATGCTGGCGGCGGTGCTGGAGCAGGAGCTGCGCGCGCTGGCGGAGAATCTGCGCCGGGAGCAGGAACAGGTGGGCGGCCCGCCCCAGCGCCCCCTGGTGGCCGAGCTCGAGCAGGACGCCTGCCAAGGGCCGGCCGGTCCCCTACCCCCTCCGCGAGCATCCCGCATCCCTCCGGACTCCGGTGCGGACGCCCGCCGACAAGCCGTCTCTTGCTTCTCAGGGTCCCTGTTTGAGCCGGAATCATGTGGAACAGCTACTGCGCTGCCTCGGGGCGCACATCCACTCTCCCAACCGCCGGCAGCTGGCCCAGGAGCTGCGAGGGCTGCAAGGGCAACTGCAGAGCCAGGGCCTTGGGCCCGAGCTCCTGCAGGCCCCGCTCTTCGCGTTCCCGAATGCGGTGAGGAGGCCTGCTCGCAGCTGGGGCTGCCCAGGGAGAGGCAGGAAGCTCCCGGTGCCTGGGAATGTGCAAAGGCTTGAGGTTGCAAGATTCCATGTCTTGCCCGTGACACTGGAGCCACCAGGGAAGGACCATCTCCTCAGCGCTAATTTCCCAGCGCCTCCCTTGTCCCCCAGGCCCGTCCAGCCTACTCGCCTCTGGCACAAGACTTTCTAGGCCTCTCCTGCTCAGCCCCACCTCTATTAGAGACTCAGCAGCCTCCTGCCTCCCTCTCCAGGTGAAGCAAATCCTCCGCAGGCGCCAGATCCGCCCACACTGGATGTTTGTGCTGGACTCGTTGCTCAGCCGAGCGGTGCGCGCAGCCCTGGCGGTGCTGGGTCCAGGTAGGCCAGGAGAGCCCACCTGCCGGCCAGGGTGTAACTCTTGGGGGCGTGGCGAACGGGCAGAGGGCGTGGTCGGTGGAAGCAGAGCTACCAGTGTGGGGCGGGGCTGGAGGGGGTGTGACCAGACCTGACCTGCCCCACCGGTCTGAGGCCCACCCCCAAGGACCACCCCCAGGCCTGCCTCTGGGGTTCCCAAATGGGCCTAATCGCCCTGCTTGACTTGGCCCCACTCGGATCGGCAGAGGTGAAGGAGGCAGGCCCACCGAGGTCAGAGGAGTCAAGTGGAGAAGCGGAGTCCCAGCCCAAGCAACAGGAGGCCTCGGTCCTGCTGAACACGCTCCTTGGGGGAACAGAGCAGGGCCCCCCACCTCTGATGGTGCAGCTGGGACTCTTAAGAGCGGAGACTGATAGGTAAAGCCTCTGGGACTTGCCCATAGCTCCCCAAGAACTTGACTCCTACTCCCCACCCACTTCACTCCTACCCCAACAGGCTTCGGGAAGTCCTGGCGCAGAAGGAACGAGAGTGCCAGGCCCTGTTGCAGCAAGCTCTGCAGCGGGTGGCCGGGGAGGCCAGGCCCTGGGCCCTGGCTTCAGAGTCCCCAGGTGAGCCTGAGCTGGCTGGAGAACATAGTTGGCTGTGAGGCGGCTTCCTACAGGAAGCACCCCTGCATTCACCACCTGACCTCTCCTTGACAGCTGCTCTGGAAGGGGACCAGGACCTGGTGCGGTGGCTACAGGAACTGAATGTGGACCCAGGCACCATCCAGACGGTGAGGGGGCGAGTACTGGCCTTCTGTGACCCCCACCAACCAAAGGCCCCATCTCTGCCTGTCTTTCAGCTCTTCTTGTTCCTACTGAGGCAGAGCATCTCAGTACTGGAAAGCACATATTGTGCCCCTCCCATTGTGCAGAAAACAGGCACAGAAAAGGGGTGATCTGCTCTGGCATGTTGGTAGAACAGAGCTGGTACCTCATCTTTCTCTTATTTTCTCTCTCCCTGTTTCTGCCCATGGCTTTTTGTCCTCCATCAGCTGCTGAATCATCGTTTCACCCTGAAAATCCTACTGACCTGTGCCTCTCGAGACGACCTCATCTATACCCGCATCAGGTATGTCCAGAGCCTTCCAGGGAATAGCTAGGCCAATGGTCTCATGACTGCCAGACTGTGACCCCCACCCACACCCCCAGTTACAAGCCAGCCTAGGTTCCTCTCTGGAAACTAGGGAGACCAGTGCCCCTTGGGGTACAGAGGGGGGCATCAGGCATACCGTGGGTACTGGAGAGAGCCCAGCACCACCTTCTGGCTAAGCTACACTGAGCCTGCTACCCCCAGGGGTGGGATGGTGTGCCGCATCTGGAGAGCCATCTTGACACAGCGAGCAGGATCCATGCCAGTGACGCCTAGCTTCCAAGAGGCCGAATGAAGGCAACCCACGGATGGAGGAGTGGAGAACACACGAACAGCTTCTGACACAGCTGACCCAGGGCAACTTGAGGCGGGTGGGGGAAGGGTAGAGCCCAGGCCTAGCCCCAGTGGGGGGAACCAACCACAGAGATGCCCCAGGCATAGACTACTAAACAGAACATTTTTTTGTACACTTGGGCCTTGTACACTTCTTGGGGATGCTGGAATAGCCCTCTAGGGTCTTTATGACTGAGTCTAAAGTTCCTTCACCTGGCCTGCTTTATGTCCTTGCTGCCTCCTGCCCCCAGCCCCCACCCCAGCAGACATCAGCCCCTATTGCCCTTAAAATAGATTTTATTGACTTTAGCCAAGGGCAGGCCCTGAGATGGGGGTCTGGAGAGAGGCGTTCAGAAGGGCTTGTAGGGCAGCTATGTCCTGGGGACCAGGTTGGTTCTGAGAGGCAGAAGGCCATCCACCCACTCACATGGTCGCTCCAGGAGTGTCTGCCACAGCTGCTTCTCTTCAGGCGTGGAATCCATCCAGGGCACCTGGAGCCCATAGCTGCTGCCTGGATGTGGGGGACAGGGGTTGAGGGCATAATGACACTGGATACCCCAGATTCTGCACTGTAATCCCCAGTTCTCAGTGGATGCTATAGATCAGGAAATGCCAGAGCAGTACCCAAGGTCGCACACTGAACCCCTGCTTCCCAGCAGTGGCTCCCCCTCACCTCTGCCCCACTCACCAGTGCCCAGGCTGAGGCGTGTGCCCCCCAGCTGGCGGCTGGCCAGGGGCCCCTGGTCCCAGAGGGAGAGCTCGGCACAGGCCTGGCGCAGATCAGTGGGCCCTAAGCCATCGTAAACCATGGTGTGGTTGAACATGGGGTTGAGGCTGCGTCGCACCACTCTTGTCCGTTGGCGGCTGGCCCGGCTGTCATCAGGGAGCACCGAGCTGGGGGGCAGGGGTGGGGCTGGCATCAAGAGATCACCTCCTCACACTTCCCACAACCAACCAATCTCACAGCCCCATCCACCCTCCCTCACTGGCCCAGGTCCTGCTGCCTGAGTCCTGGCCTCAAAGCCTGGCTACCCTGGGACCTCTGCTCCTGCCTCCTCTCAGGCCTCCTGCCTTGCAAGGTCTCAGCTCCTAGTCACAGGATCCCAGAGTAATGTCTCTGAAGTGCAGTCTGCTCAGTGATCTACCCTGGCTCTCTGTTGCCTTCCTGAATAGTTTCCAAACTTCTTAATGCCTCAGACCCCTCTCTGCAAGGCACAAGACCTAAAAGAAATAGTGTCTCTGGTTGAATCAAGATTGCAAACTCAGAACCTGACTTGCCTACTTCCACATCACTCTGAGGGTGGGGAGCCTGGAGGCTCACTTTGAAAACCACTGAACTGCAAGCTCAGGGCCAAGCCCCACAGCCAGGCTTTCCAGGTCCTCATGGAAGGTCCCCTGCCACCTCTGAGGTCAAAGCCTCAGCTCCCCAGCAAGTCCCGTGACGCCAGTGTGAAACGCCGCTCTGTAAGGGGGTCCACAACTTTCCTGACTCCAGCCCTGTGGTCAAGACGTCCCCTCCCCCCTGCTCTGGGGCCCAGAGTATCTGGTTAGAAGAGGTCTGTGGGAGGCGGGGAGCGCCACCGCAGGCCTCACCACTGTATGAAGGCATCCATGGTTCCCGAGTGCAGCGGCACGAGGTCCTGAGCTTCCTTCACCCAGAAGTGCAGCTCCCCGCTCTCCGGCTGACCTGCGCCTGCGAGGAGGCTCCGCTCAGCATCTCCGGCCGGGCGAAACCTCTCCCCCCGCCCCCCCCGCCCCGCCCCCCAATACACACACACACCCCTCCCGCTAAACCACCTCCCGGGCCGGTCCAGTTTGGCGTCTTAGGGCCGGTCACTCACCCTCAGAGCCGGCAGGGACGTACTTGAGGGACAGAGACAGCAGCCCGCGGCTGGGAAGGTCGTCGGGAGCAGGCGGCACCTGCGAGAGCCGCGCGTCAGGGGAGTCTCCAGACACCGAGGGGGCGTGGCTAGCGGGGGGCGGGGCCCCAAAAGAAAGTGGGCGCCGGTGGTGGTGGGATCTGCGCGCCCCCGCCATAGGCTTCGCCTAGGGCCGCAGGTGGGGGGCCGCGGGAGGCGGGGCGTGAGGGAGGCTGGGGGAGCCCCCGGGGCAGCGGCGGGTCCCGCGCGGGCGCTCGGCCTCACCCGGGGCTGCAGGGGGAGACAGGCCTCCGGCGAGTCCCAGTCCCAGGTGTCCAGGGGCACCTCGACTTCGCCCAGAAAGACGTTGCGGCCCAGGCTCTCACGGTGCCACACGGACAGGCTCAGGACGCGGTCCTGCAGCTCGGCCTGCGGCACGTAGTACTGGGGACAGGAGGGGCGCCTTAGTGGGGCGCCTTAGTGGGGCGGGGCCGGCGGCCCCGCTGCTGCGCTGCGGGAGTCACGACATGGGCTTCTCCCTTCCATGCTCCTCGCGGGACGCAACCCTGGGGAGCCCCGAAGGGCATTCCCGGGGCTCCGGACTGGCGCCCTGCCCGCCACAAAACACACTGGGGCTCGCGGTCACGGGAGGGCCCCGCGGCACGGAGGGCGGCGCCGGGGCCGCAGGGGGCGCGGGAAGGGGGCCGCCCCGACGTCGCCGCCTCACCCGGATAGTCTCGTTGAAGACCGGGTACAGGTCGCGTCTCCTCACGGCCGTCTTGCGCTTGCTCAGCTTGTCCGGGAGGAGGTAGATCTTGACGTATCTGGGGCGAGAACCGGAGGTGAGCGGGGCCCGGCGCAGGGGCTTCCCCAGCCGCCGCGCCGAAGCGCTTCCGGGCCGGCCCCGCGCCCGCAGGCAGCTCGCCCGGCCCCGCGCGTGCCGAGGGCCGCGGCGCGGGCCCCGAGACGGGAGCGGCGGCCCCGCTGCGCGCCCCCTGCGGGCCCGGGCGCACTCACGGGTTGGAGCGGTGGCGCCGCGCGGCCGCCAGGCCCCAGCACTGGATCACGTGCACGCGCAGCTCCGTGGTGCGCGCCTCGTAGTGCAGCGCGAACAGCACCGAGCCGCGCACCTGCAGGGCGCCCGCCTCCGCCAGGCTCGTCTGGCTGCCGCTCAGCTGCGGGCGGGGGCGGGGGGCGGGAGGTCAGGGCGCGCGCGCCGGGCTCACGTCGGGGCCGGGGGAGCGCGGCGGGCTCGGGGCGGAGAGCGGGGGTGACGCGAGGTGAAGGGCTGACGGCCGTCCCAGCGAGGTGGCTGGCCCGGGGACTTGAGTGTCGGGTTCTGGGGCGAGGGGGGCATCGGCGGGGCAACGCGTTGGGGTACCGGGAGGAGGCGCGTCCACCTCTCCCCCTGCCCCCAGCCCCTCACCGTGGAGGAGTTGAGGCTGGACAGCGAGGAGCTGCTGCTGAGCATGCGGTCGAGCGAGGGGCTGGGCTCCGGGGCCTGCTCCCCGTTCTCCAGCATCTTGGGCTCCGTCTGGGTCTGGGGAGGGCGGAGCGCCGGGGCGCCCGACGGCGCGGGGTCCCGACGGCTCACAGCCTGGCGCCGGGACGCTCCGCGCTGCAGATCCGCTCCGGGTCTTGAGAGCAGCCACGGGCCGCCGCCACCCACCTGGGCCGGCGCGGGCCGCGGTTCCTTCAGTCCCCGGGACGGCGGCTCCGGCTCCGGGTCCGCCTCCTCCGCGGCGGCCGCACTGACCGGCGCGCGCCCAGGGCTGGGGGCTGGGACAGGGCACAGCGGCTGAGCGAGCCCCTCTCCGGCCCGGCCGTGGGCCAGTTGGGAGGAACGAGCCGGCAACCGCTGTGACCTGCAAGTTCAGGCCCCGGTCGCCCGCGGAGGCCACCCCCAACCTCACCACACCTCCCCCCACCGCAAGAGAGAGAAAGTGGTTGCACCTGGGGAGCTGGAGTCACTCAGAGCTGTCTCTGACCCCCACAACCTTTCCTGCCCCCCAACACACACCCTTCCTCTCACCTTCCCAGGCCTGGGATTCCTCCTCATGACCTGAAGCCTTTGGCGGGACATAGGGTGAAGGGGAATCCAGTCCCTGAAAGAAGCAGGGGGTAGCTGCACAGTGGGGACTAGCGAGGAAGAAGGGAAAGGTCAGGACAAGGCCAGAGGTCAGGACTCCAGCTAGCCCAGCTTCAGACTGAGCACAGCCCTAGGGACTGGCCTGCGGCCAGTTGCAGGACCAGTTGGGCCTGTACTTCACACCCCTTCATGCTTCCCCCGACTCCCACCAGTGGGGCTCTGCAGTACCCGCGTCGGCCTCCACTCCTAAGAGAGGATTCAGAGATTCCCTCGAGGCTGGTCCAGATCCCTCTCTCACAGAAGAGGGTAACAGAGACGCAGACCAGGGCCTCCTGATCTCCAGTGGGGGCTTTCTCCTCAGTCCACCTCACCTCTACTCCAGGGGCACCATGGCCTTCATCACCTCACTCAGTCACTCACAACTCACCTCAGCCTTGCGGAGCCTCTCTTGGGGTGCCTGGTTGATGCGGAGTCTAGAGAAGGAAGAGGTGATGCAGGGGATGGGCCCCAGGAGCTGGTAGGCATCCCCCCTCCCTGCCACACCTCTTACCTGGGCCCCAGCTCCTCCTCTTCATCCCTCTTCCCTGGAGCCTCAGCTTTCCTGTCACCGCCCAGAACCTGACCTGCCCAGGTGAGAAGTTCTGTGAACCCCTGTTCTCCTTTCTTGGAGATGACTGCCGAGCTCCTGTAGCTCACAGAGGGCTGGTGACCAGCCAGACGCCCAGTACTGGGCACAGCTGGATGTCTTTCCATAGAGCCCTGACCCTGTGCCCTTCGCTGCGCAAGGCCTGCCCCTCCCTGGGGATCTCCTCTCACCCCGGAAAGTCTTCTTCCTGCGGATGGAGGCTCGGACAAGGTCAGAGCCAAGGTGGGCAGGGTGGTGCCTCTGGGAGCGGGCTTCCTGGAACCAGTCCCCCGTCAGGATCTTCAGCTGTCCAGGGTCTGCCAGCGAGGCCCGGAGCTTGCTGGAGGATGGGGGATGGTGTGGCTGTCACCACTCACCCCGCCAACATTCCTGCCACCCATTCTGTGCCTGGCCCTGTACCTGGGAGCAGGGACACAACTGCAAATCATACTTGATCCCTGCTCAGGAGGAGCTCAGTTTGGTGGGGAGACTGAGTCCAGAATAGATGTGCACGTTACAGTGAGGTAGGAGACACCACAGAAGTGAGAAGCGCCAGCTTTGCCAGTGGGAATCCAGGAGGATCACCCAGGGAAGGTGACATTTGTATTGCTTCTTAAAGGATGAACTGGGGTTCTCCGGGGAGAGAAGGACAATTATTCATTAAATGATTTCTGCCCATTCTCCCTCATTTTACGAGGTGGTGCTCTGTAGCCCCACTTTACAGATGAGAGGGGTGCCAGGGAGGGCAGGGGAGTCCCCTGAGCTTCCATAGCTGGGACACATCTGTTTCCAAACACACTTGTGAGTCCTCTGCCATGCTCCTCTGCCACTGTGTTTTTCCAGGGAGAGGAACAGCACAGAAGTGAAGGGTGTGCTCGGGGACCCGAGCCCCCGGGGCTGTGGCGGGCACTCTGTGCATGTGTGTGTCGGGGGTTACTGCTGGAAGAGGAGACAGGAGTGCTGTGCCTGAGGCGAGGTGCTGAACAGGAGGTCTCAGCAGGGGGTATGAAAGCCAGATCTAGGGGGCCTCAAATGTGCCACCAGGTAGGCTGGATGGGGCAAGCCTGGAGGCAGGGAGGCTGGCAAGGGAGCTGGTGCAGCCACCCTGGAAGAGATGGGCGAGCTGACCAAGGGCAGAGGGGACCAACGGGCGAAGTTAATAGCTGCCCAGACACCTGGCAGGCCACACTTTGGCAATGTGGAAACCAGCCAAGCCTCCCAGTGCTGAGACCCCTTCTTCCTGGGCTCCCCTGCCCTGCCTCACCTGACCCGCCCCTCCTCCAGCTGGCGCAGGTGGGCATCTCGCATCAAGACTTCAGCAATGGCCTCCTGCTCCTCCTCTGTCAGGAAGCTGAGGTCCAACAGCCCATCGGCCTCAGGCTCTGACTCATGTGCCATGAGGAGGCAGGGCAGGGCACAGAGCCCCTCTTGAGATATGTGGCACCTCTGGGGCATCAGCTGGGGCAGTGCCCCGGCTGGGCACACGTGGCTCCCTGGAGGCAGATAAGGGTCAGGTCAAGTCCTGCCCAAGTACAGGGCACATCCTGGCTGACTGCCATTTTCTGCTCAAAATGGGGTGAGGGGCGGCACCTCCTCAGGAGGGCTGAGGTCAAGGTGGAGGACATATGCATCCACGGACATATGCATGCCTGGCCTGCAAACACACCAAGGACATCCTTGAGACGTGTGCAGACACCCCACATGCACTGACACACACGGACACACCTACCCCCAGAAAGACGGGCACCAGCCACACACGCACGTGGAGAGTGGTAGAGACAGGCCCACGCACATCCCCTCCCCCGCGAAGAGCCAGCCTGTGTAGTCACAGACCCCGGCCCTGGCCCAGACCTAACAGAGCCTTAAGCCTGCACACAGGCACGTGCATGCCGAGAGTTACCTGCACAGGTGGGGTTCACCTGTTCAAGGGTAAGTGTCAGGACAGAGACATGATCTGAGACACACGCCATCAGACATCCACACACGCACAGTGTCTGCCTCCCGCCTGATGGTAGCACCTGAGGGCGGGAGTACTTTGCACACAACAGATGGTTGGTAAAAGTTTGAACAACTGAATGCAGGCGTGCATGTGCACACACACGGTGAATGCATGCACGCACACACACACACACAGTGCAGGCGCACACAGGCATCTGCTCACTCCCCCTCCCAGGAACCTCCCAACCTGCTCCCCTCCCTCCACCCTTCACCTTCACCCTGCCCTGGCCCATTTGGTCTTCCTGTCTGAGGCAACCTCCTCCTCAGCCCACACCCCAACTTCCTCCCACACACCCCCCCCCCAAGTAACCACTACATTCACTCCCACTGAGGCCTCCAGCCCAGGGATGCCCCTGCTGCCAGCCCTGCCCTCTTCCCAGAGCCCCTGGGCCCCTGTGCTCCAGTGAAGGGGTCCTCCTTCCCAGCCCCAGGTGCCAGCTGGCCAAGTGCTGCAACGCAGCTCAGGTACCACAGGTGACGCCAGAAGGAAAACATTTTCCTGGCTTGAGGGGCGTGTAGACGTGGCAGGGGGCCCCAGCGGGCCTTGGGCAGAGCAGGCAGGGCCTAAGCCTGCTAGGCAGCCTCTCCCTACCCCATCCAGGGCATCAGGTGGCCAGGATGGGAAGAGGGCTTGGCGGGCAGGCCCTGGCTTGTCCCGCCGCCTGTGTGGTGCCCTCCCAGCTGAGTCAGTGTCCAGGCCTCAGTGAACCCTGTCCCCCAGCTGCCCCCTCACCCCAGAGCCAGGGTGGGGGTGGGGTTCCTGCACGTCGGAATCAGGGACCCACATGTGAATGCCTGTGTGGTTGACTCAACAGTATTTCCTGAACATCTACCGCGTTCAGGGTGCTGGGTGTTGTGAACAGTCTGGGCTCTGCCGGCGGGTGTAGCCGGCCTTGACGGAGCCGGAGAGTGAGGCTGGGTTTGCACCGTGTTTGTGTGGGACCCCGGCCTGGGTGTTTTGTGGGTGTCAATGCAATGTCACTGCTTGTGTGCATGCGTCATGGCAGTGCTATGCTCCCGGGGACTGTGTGTTCGGTGACTTTCTGGGTGACAGCGTCATGCCCTGTGTGTTTCCTCCCGGGCGGTGTGTGGCTGGGCTGTACGCTGTGGCGTCTGCGCTGGTGCCTGGGCCACCAGATGTGTGTGTGAGTGGGGTGGGGGGGCTTCTGCATAGCAGACCCTGCCCTGGCCCTACAGGTCTGCCTGGGCAGAGCTGTGGCCATCTGAGCCCGGGGTTCCCACCGAACCCCCTCCCTAAGGCCAGGCCCCTGTCTTTCCGGAGACAGAATCTAGTGCTGGTTCTTGCCGCTGTTTCAGTGCTGTGGGCCGACCGGCTGGTCAATCTAAGGGCCTGTCCATCTGTCTGGCTGTTCTGGTCCTGGACACACTCCCGTGTCCTCCACCCCAAAGTCCCAAGATACCAGGTGGCAGTGTTGGCCCCGGGGACCCGGGCGTGGGACCGTCGCCCCAGCGTGTTACCTGTAGGGGTCCAGTATGGAGGGAACACCTTCACAGGGCGGTCCCCGCTTCCAGGCAGCCAAGGTTCAGGAACCAGGAGAGCAGTGAAGGGGCGAGGCTCACTCAACCAGCGCCCCAGAGGGAGCAGCAGCCGGGTCGGGGGGAGGAGGAGGAGGAGGAGGAAACACCTTCTCAGCAGGGCCTGATGCAAAACCGGGCCTGGACTCCCGGCTCCGGAGAGCCTCGCCCCTGCCTTGACCTTCCCAAGACCCCAAGTAGATGCCGCAGGTGGGCGATGTGGGGGCGTGGCCCAGGCTCCTCTGCAGACTTACCGGATGCTCTGTAACAGAGGGGCGCACCTCAGGGTCTTGGCTGCCTCATCTGTAGGGGGGGTGGCAGCCCCACCCAGCCTGGCGAGGAGCTGATAGGAACCTGCTCTGAAAACAAAGTCAGACACCTTTCTATGAGTGCTGGGACCGACCGGAAAGGGTGCCTGCTGAGGGCAAACCGCCAGAGGGGGTCCTGCTCCGCCCTGTATGGCCTCTGGTGGGTCTAGCCTCCCGGAGCTGCAGTTTCCCCCTGTGCAGACTGTGCACAGATAGCAGCAGCAGCGGACAATGTAAGGGACACGGGGCCTGGCACAGGCTGGCACAGAGCAGTAACTGACTGTCCCTTCTCCAGCACAGTCCATTTGCACGCCCACCGCCTCCCCTGGAAAGTGCAGGTCACAGCAGAGCTGCTGTCTGTCTCCTCTGCCACCTGGGGGACCCCCAGGTGTTTGAGGAAGCCTAGACTCTTCCAGGGACAAAGTGAGGCTCCGGTGCTTTTCCTCTGCCCACAGGGAGGCCTTGGTGCCCCCTTTGCTCCCAGATTCTGCGCTGCCCTGAGGGGTTTGGGCCCTATGTTTAGATTACACGTGCTTGGGCACCATGAATGAGGCCACCCCAAGGCTCTGGAGCCCCCCCAGGTCTGCTTCATTCAACTGACCGTCCTGACCCACTGTAAGGGGTCAGGAAAGAACACTGAGCAGGTTTTCTGATCTCATGCAGACTGGGTAAAGGAGGAATCAGAGTCCTTAGTAGCTCTTTGCAGGTCTTTTTATTGGGATTAACCCAGTACACAGCAGGCAGGGGTGCTGGGGGGCTGGGAGGCTGGCAGGCCTCCCAGCCCCCAGCAAGTCTTCACTCTCTCTGGGCTCTCTGGCCTTCTCTGCTTCTGCTGCTTCTCGGCTTCTCTCTCGGCTTCTGCTGCTGCTGGCGTCCCCGTGACGCCGCCTTAAAAGCCCAGTCTCAGCCCAGGTGAATCCCATCTACCTCCGCCCACACCCTCCTCCAGGTGTCCGCGGTCAGGCATGCATTCAGGACAAGGATCCATCATCTCTCCTGATGGCCGGAGGGCAGAAAAGCCTGATACCTTTTACCTTACCCTACACCCACCTGCAGCCATAGCTTGTAGCCCCCCAGGAGAGGAGGTGGGCAAGGAAAGCCCACCCCCTCCCTGTCTAAACTGCTTCCTGAATGAACACTAACTCCCTTCGCCCACCTGAAGCCCCTCCCCCAGCCCAAGGGCCAGTGCCCCCGTTTATTTTTTACACGTGAATCTGATTTTCTGAGGTTCTGTTTCCGCATCTGCTAAATGGGCGTAAACATCCCTCACAGGTGGTTTCACTACCATTGGGTGAGACCCCCGGAGGCGCTGACTGAACAAGCGTGTGCATCTGCCCAAGCAGTGTCTACCGAGCACGTGTGTGTGTGTGTGTGTGGGGGGGGGGGGATCACTGTGGTGCCACCTCCTGTCGAGTAGCCTGCAGCGGCATCCTCACCCCCTCCCACCGTCCTGCCCTGGCTCCTCCCAGGGCTGTTTCTCAGCCCTGGGGCTCTCGGCAGCCTCCTCCTGGAAGGCATCAAACTCCTCTGTCTATGCTTCCAACTCGCAAGTCTCCTCCGCGTGTCTCCTGTACTTAGAACAGCTACTTTTCTGGACTCGCTTTTATTTTTTTCTTCTTTTTTTTAAGATTTATTTATTTATGCACACAAGAGCTGGGGTGTAGCCAGAGGTGCGGGGGTTAGAGGATTCACCAGAGACAGAGCGGGGAACAGAAAGGCGGATTGACTGAAATACACTGCTGAGGGGAGCAGCAGGTGAGTCAGGAGGGTTCTGCTGCGCCATGTGTGCTGCTCCCTGGGTGGGGATCGAACTTGTGCTGTAGTGGCTGGCAATAGCTTGATAGCACTGACTTTAACCCCTGCACCACCAGGGAGGCCCTATTTTTTTATTTTTAAAGATTTATGCATACAAGAACTGGGGTACAGGCCAGAGGTATGGGGGAATGGGGTGAGAGGATTCACCAGAGACAGAGTGAGGAACAGAACCAGCGGATCTACTGAAATCCACTGCTGAGGGGAGCAGCGGGTGAGACAGGAGAGGTCTGCTGCACCATGTGGGCAGCTCCCTGCCTGGCTGGGGGATCGAACTCATGCTGCAGAGGCTGTGGACAGCTTCATAGTGTTATGCTTAACGCCTTGTGCCACCAGGGAGCCCCTAGGAATGACTTCTAAGCTGGGCTTGGGGAAGGCAGGCTGCGATTCCAACAGGCGGGAAGCCAGCGTAGGTGTGGGGGGCGGGGGGATGTCAGCTTGAGAAACTTGGCCACATGACTTCGGATCTGACAGGGGCCAGGGACGGGGGTGATCCCCGTATATGGGGAAGCTGCTACCCTGGTGGAGGGGACAGGTCCAGGGCTCCCGGAGGCCTAGGCGCAACTCCCAATCCTACTGCAAAGTTCTTCCCGATGGCATGCGGGAGGGTTTCGATACACACCTGCCTGGGGAGGGTGGCAGATGAGGAACTCCCACAGCCTGGGCCAGGGCAGGATTTATTTGAGGGGCGCTGGCGTCCCTATCAGCTTCCATCCCAGAGGAGGATCCAACTCCTGCCAGCAACCAGGCCTTTCACCAGGGGCCCAGGAGGTAGAGATACTCCGGGACGTCAGAAGATACGAGCCGAAGGGCAAGGGGGTGTGGAAGGGAGAAAAGAAGGACCAGGCACGGTCTGATGTCAAAACTCTTTATTGTCCTGCCCTGGACGCCCTGCGCAGAGGAATGTGGGACAGTGGGGAGGGCAGCCAGCCTTCCACAACCTGGAGAAAGGGGGTGTGAGAGGTGGGAGGAAGCAGCTCCCTCTGGCTGTTTGGTGGTGCCAGCTGAAGTCCCCACATCCTGAGCCCAAGGGTGCCATCCCCAGGGCAAGGCCCCACACGCTCTGGCAGACAGGGGGCCACTCTGGACACATCAGCACCCCTCATCTCTCCAGCCTGGCGCGGGGCGCCCAGGCCCCCAAGTGCAGGTGGGCCATGGGCCCCGGAAGAGTGGGAAGAGGGGATGCCTGGGCTGGACACCAAGGAGACGGGGCACCAACTACCCCAGCGCGGCTCCCGGAAAACCTCTGAAGGGGGGGCCTCCAGCCCCAGTGGACCCTTTGAGAGGCGAGTGAGGAAGCCCAGGGCAGTTGGGGTTATGGAGACGCCCCCTGTCCCCACGCACCGGGCCGCAGCCCGCAGCAGGAGGCGGGCTCCAAATCCAGCGAGGGCCCTCGCTGGATCTAAAAACGGCCTCTCCCGCACTGGGCCCTGGGCCGCGGCAGGAGGCGGTGGCAGCAGCAGCTCTGCAGAGGGAAGCCAAGGCTTTCCCAAAAGATGAACAAATGAACAAAGAGGGTGACTCAAAGGCGGGGTCACGAGCCTGGGGCAGGGGGAGACGAGGAGTTCTGAGTAACTGGGAGACACAGCGAGGAAACACCCCGCCCCCCGCTCGTCCTCAGCTTCAGTTCTCACGCTAACCCACTGAGCCACAGCCTCTGCGTCAAAGCCAGCGGGTCCATCCCTGCCTTTGCGATGAGAAGAAAAATTCTGGAACCAAAGTGGTGGCAGCTGCCTCCTCAGGAGGCTGGTGAGTTTGGGGCTGGGGCTGCCATCACCGCAGGTTAAAGACCAGGCTGACGGTTAGGATGACACCCAGGAGGAGGACGAACGGCAGCCAGGTCTTCACGAAGGCCCCGATGCTGACAGAGAGGAGAGGGGGGTACAGGTGGGAAGGGCCCCATGAGTGGGTGTTCAGGCCCACTCATCACAGACCCAGATGAGGCTGCTGCCCTTAGGGAAGCACATTCCCGCCCCCCAAACTTGGCCAACCAAGGTATGTGCTGGCCCTGGTGCCAACTATAGAGAACCAGCAACCCCTGGCGGGGGCTGTCCAGGCTCCTGGAGGGGATCTGGTGACACCTGCTGGGCAGTGCAAAAGTGCCCACCCCTCAGGGCCTCACAGTGCCACTCGTGACCACACCTGTCTCTGGGGAGAGGCCACCAGTGAGCAGACTGGGAACTTCAGTCTGGTGTGGAAGCCAGGGGTCTCCTCTGCCCACGGTCTCATAATGGGACCCCTGGAGGTGAGGTGAGGGGTTGGCAAGTGGAGCAGAACTGTTTCTGGAGCTCAGGGGCCAGAGTTGGGGTCCTCAGTTCAGCCCCTGCTCCGGCTCTGTCCCTGTGACCACAGTTACGGGTTTCTCAGGGAGCCTCTAAAGACCTTTTGGACAAAAAGACCCCTGAGAGTCTCCTTCTCAGAGGCTCTTAGTGGTGAGTGCAGCTGGAGGAAAGCGTGAGGTGCCGGGTTAGCCAGGTGTGTGCTGGCCCCCAAGTGGGTGAGTCACATGGTCTTGACCTGTGAATTGGGACCAATGCCTTTGACCTTGCAGGTCGTGAGGCCGTGGCCTCCGAGATTCTCCTGGGCCACCACTGGGTCTTCTTGCCCAGAACCCGGTCTCTGATAAGGGGTGCAGAGAAGGGAATTTGTGCAATGGTCACCCACTTCCCCTGGGAGCTACCTATCCATGTGACCTGAGCATGGGGCTCTGCAGACGCACAGCCTCCCCAAGGGGCCAGAGTCATTGTCTCCCCTTCACCCAGGAGAGCTGCAGCTCAGAGAGGCTGAGGCAGTCACCTGAGATCTTGCAGTGAGCAAGTGACAGAACTGGGCTCGGGACCTACAACAGCCACCTCATTCTCCACCAGGAGTTGAGCTAGTTGTTCTAGAACCTACGTGGCAGCAACCAGCAGCTGCTTTATCCCTGCTGGCTGGAGGACTCCAGAAATGGCCCTGCCAGGATCCTGGGAGGACAACGCAGGGGGATCCTGGGAGGACAATGCAGGGGGATCCTGGGAGGACAACGCAGGGGCAGGTGGCTCACCTGACATACTTCCCATAGAGCAGGCAGAAGAAGCAGAGTGTCACCATGTTCCAGTTGGTGCTGTTGTTGTAGTGCATGAGGTTCAGGGCCAACGCCACATGGGAGTGGCAGTTGTCACAGCAGAGATTGTGCTGGAGACACAGGAAGGGCCGGGTGGGGTCAGGTTGGGCTGTGGGGCGCTGGCCCCGCCTCTCACCCTCAGAAGCGGCCCACCTACCATGCGGTGCTTGTACTCCTCAGAGGCATCGTGAACAGCCGTGTCCCAGGCATTGGGCCCACTGGCGTACACCTGAGCAGGGTCCAACTTCCAGTACCTGAGGGGAGACAGGGAGTTCTGGGCACTGGCTCAGTTCCCTTGAGCTGCTCAGCCCCACACATGTCCCTGGCACAGGTCCAGAGCTGGGTGCTAGGGCCATGGGGGGAGCCAGTTCCGGGGAGGGGGCCACACAGCACACATCGCTAACAGTGAGCGGCCCCCTGCCACGGGGACCCGGGAAGATATGAATGAACTTAGCAGAGATGGGGGCATGAGACGTTTCTGGAGGGGACACCTGCGTGGAGTGGGAAAGGGGAAGAGTCAGCCAGGCACAGAGCAGGACTTCTGGGCAGAGGGAAGGGCTTGAACACTGGGAGAGGCACACAACCCTGCAGCCTGTGCCAGAAATTACAGCTGGGCGGTGCTGGAGGGTGGGGCCAGGGTGATGGGACTTTGGCAGGTGAGGCTGATATGCAGACTTGGGGCTTGAACAGCACCGCAAGGAATCTGCCTGTCGGCAGCCGTCACCCTGACTCCCCACGCAGGAGACGGCGCTGAGTGGGAGAGCAGCTGGCAGAGCTAAAACCTCAAACCTCAAGTTGGGTGAGAACAGCTGTTCCAAGCAACAGTGTGCCCCAAAGGGCAAGCCAGGAAAGGCTGGGAGGTCAGAGCACCCCCTGGAGGCTGTGTGGGGAATGGCTCGGTGGAGGAGGCTGAGGGACAGGACCAGTGAGAAACCAGTGGCCTACAGGGCTTCTACCTAGGCATGGGTGTGCTTCAAACCGTCCTGGAAAAGCAGCCTGGCAGCTTGCACCCTGCCCACTCTAGGCCACCTCTGCCCAGGGGAACACCAACTCCTCCTCAGGCCACACTCCTCGGCAACAGGGGCTGTTCTGAGCATCCCCAAGCTGTCCCCAGGCCCACAGCTGAGGTGGGTCCGCAAGACAGAAAAACTGGAGACTAAAATTCCCACGCAAAGCAGCAGTAGCTCCCAGAGGGCCCGAACGGTTTCTGTTCTCTCTAACCAGAACTTTCCAGCAGAACTCCAGATAATGCCTCCCTCATACCTGGAATGGCGTGCTTACTCCAAAGTGAGCACTTGGGAGTGCCACTTCCCATATAATCTTGACCAAGCCCCTCCCCTTTCCTTCCAATGGAGCTGCAAACACCACTGGCAGAGCTGAAGTGAGCCTAGACGGTCCGTGGGTAAAGACCCGCTGGGGCCTGTGTGCTGTGGCGGAGCCTGGCTGGCCCTCCCCTCAGCCCACGGTGAGGGTGCTGGCTCCTCCTGAGCCCCAGAAGGCCTGGCCTGCTGCTCCCGGCAGGAGGAAGCAGGCTCTGGGCGAGTCACACGGCTGCTCATCACTTACTTGGCAGGCTTTCCAAAGGCCATGTTGTCTTCCTGTTGAGGGAAAAGAGCAGAGGTCAGTGGGGAATAGGCATCCAGCCGGAAAGAGACCTGGGCCAGTGGTGGGCGTGAGTGATTCGGGCATGCATGACTCAGGAGTGTGTCAGGTGGGCAGAGGGAGCCTGGTCCCTGCTCTGGGGCAGGCCTGGCATCTGTAATGCCAGCAGTAGCTCTTCAGCAGGAAGAAGGCAGGCATGCAAAGAGCACTGCACTGGGGGACTGAAGTCTCTGGGTGAACGGCCGCAACTGCCTGGTCTGCCCCCAGGTAATCCCCTCTCTCTCTGGACCTCATCTGCTCCAGGTTCTTTGGTCAATGTCTGGCCTTCGATTACAGGGAGGGGTGTCCTTGCCACGTAAAGGATGTTACCCTATGACCTCCTGGCCTGACAGAGGTGGTCCACCTGGGGCCTTTCTCGGCGTCTGGCAGTCTGACTGCATCAGAGCAGGCAGGACAGGGGGCAGGCTCCAGAGTCTTCCTTGGAGGGACACATTTCAGCCTAGTCCTAGACCCGCCACATAAGATCTGGGATACAGGAGTTCTACGGGGATAGACTGTGGGTGCGGGATCTGGAAGATCCTAGTGAGAGCTGGGCAAAGATGAATTATGAAAGAATACGATGGTAAAGGGTGGGAAAGACCTTTGCTGTGTTAAGATCATGACAACTCTTGATACAGGGGGCTGGTGCCACCACACCCCTTCATCCTAGCCTCTGTTGACACAAGCTGCAACCGGGGAAGAGGCAGGATGCTTCCTGCTCATTTGGAACCAGCCCATGGCACCCATATTGGCACATCCCAGGAATAGACCTGAGGACACAGCAGTTCATTCTAGAAGCCCCCCACCTCTTCTCCAAGGCCATACCTAGGGAACCTTGTCAGCCGTGTTCCCACCTTGCGACTCGCACCTTCTGAAGGTCCAGAGACGTGGGTCCTGGATGGTCTGACTCTCCACTCTTGCCTCTATAACCCCTACCCATGTCTCGGTACCCCAGGGGTGAGCAAAGGACTGGCTCAGTTACTTAAGAATCCTTCTGGCCACGCTGCCCTCCCGGCCTGTCCTGGAGGCAAGAGAAGGGGTAAAGGGGTGAAATGCTGGGGAGAAGCAGAGGGCCAAGGACTGCCCAGTATCTGCCTTCTTCTGGGTCTAAGGGAGACAAGGCCGCTGCCTACAGGCAAGATAGGCCAGTCTTCCACTTAAGCCTTGGAGCCCTCCAGAGCGGGGCAGAATAGGGACTCACCGAGACAAAGTAGGGACCTGCGAAGTCTCGAATGACGCCTGTGGATGTGCAGATGCCCATGTGGCCAATGATGGGAAAAAACCACCTGCAAGGAAAAAGGGCAGAGCTTAGGGGTCTTGCAGCTGGCGAGACAGGTGGTGGGTGTCTAACTTCATGCGGTGTATAGGGTGGCCAGAGGGGCTGGGGAAGCCCAGAAGAGGGCAAGTGCAAATGCCGAGTACGGCAGGATAGCACGGCACCCCCAGCAATGGTGAGCCTTAGAGGAAGAAGGCAGAGTGTGGGGAGGAAGCCGAGTGACTGGAATTCCCTCTCACTGCTGGTGGGAGTAGAAATTGTTTCTACCACTTTCGAAAACTGGCAATATAGCCTATGCCTCAGGGATTCCAGATCAGAGTGTACACCTAGCAGTGTCCCCAGGAGCCAGGACAGCTGGAAAGGGTCAGTCACCTCTGTCAAAACTCACTGCCCTGTCACCTCAGAGTGTATGCACTTTATTGTTTTTAATTATATGTCAATAAGGTTGATTTAAAAAATAACTAGAAATAATACAAATATTCAGTGATCAAGTAAATTGGGGTACAGTCATACAGTGAAATAGCACATAACAAACTCATGCAACGCACAGCCCAGAGTCTCAGAAGATGGAGTGAAGAAAGACTTACTCAAAAGTATATGCATATTATTCTGTTTATATGCAGTTCATACAAGAAAAGAGAAAATCTATGGTGCTAGAGGGCAAATAGGGTTGTTGCTGGGGCTGAACTGGCTAGCACAGGGAGCCCTTTTGGGTACTTTAATGTTCTCTCTCTTGATCTGGGTGACAGATCACGTAAACACCCATTCAGCCACATACTTAAGATTTGTATATTCTATGAGTGTTACACCTCAGAAATAAAAGTTTCTAAAAAGTGCTGGAAGGCATTTAAACCAAGCTGGGGTTCAGGGGAGGTTTCCCCCAGGAAATATGAAGAAAACAGCACCTGCAAGGGTAGATTTTAGGATAGAAGCATGGTGTTTGCCAGGAACTGAAAGTTCATATTTTTAAAAGCTGGACTCCAATATGGAAAACACAAAGGAACCCCAGATCTGTCTGCAGTCTCAGATCCAAGGCTCTGCAGGGTCTATATGCTGGAGATTGTCACAGCGTCAAGGCTGACCCTGCTCGGGTGACGGAGGCAAAACTCCCAGAGATGCAGCACACGACTGTGTGGGCTGGACCGGAGTCAGCAAAGGCTTCACCGAGGAGGTGACTTTTAATCTTGACCTGTGAAAGGGCAGGATGTCAACAAGGGGAAAGCAAAACTCTGAAGCAGCAAAGTGCTGTGTGTGTCTGGAGAATGGGGGGCTGGTGTGTGTATGCGGGGGTGCGAGGGGCAGTCAGGATAGAAGGAAGGAGGGCAGCCAGTTCAGAGGCCGCTGTGGAATACTGGCACCAAACGATGGTGTTTGGTGAGAAGCTGATGAGTTAAAAAGATCTTTAAGGGCCTCCCCGGTGGCACAGCGGTTGAGCGCTGGGTTGCAAAGCTGCCCGCGCCCGAGACGCTGGTTCAATCCCCGGCTGCTCCCCGGCCACCGGAGGAGGGTCCCACATGGTGCGCAGACCTCTCCTGCCGCCCGCTGCTCCCCTCAGCAGTGTGCTTCGGTCCTTCTGCCTGCTCTGCTCCCCACTCTGGCTCTGGTGAATTCTCTCACCCTCCCGTGCTTCTGACTGTACCCAGTGCATGTATAAGTAAAACAAACAAACAAATAAATAAATAAATAAATAAAGCATGCCTCTACTAAAAAAAAAAAAAAAAAGTAAAAAGATCTTTAAGTGGAAGACGGACAGGAGACAGGTCTCCCACGGCCGCAGTCTGAGCACCTGAGAGGATGGTGGGGCCAGACTGGCCTTTTGAGAATATAATTCAGAGTCCCTCGTTCCCTTGCTAAACATCCATTAGTGGCTTCCTATTATACTTAAGTTATACTTCAAACTGCAACAGTTTGGCCCTGCTTATTCCTTGAAGTCACTCACCTCCCTTCTCTCTAGTAATACTGCCTGCTTCTGGCTCCTCAAACACACCAAATTCCCTCCCAGGGCTTTCTCTGCGCGTGTCCTCTCCTCTTCCCCTCGAGCTTTGCACCTTTGGCTGCTTCTCATCTTTTAGGCCTCAGCTCAACTGCCAACTTCGGTCTTTCTTGACCACACTTTCTAGAGTAACCACACATAAACCCAGGCCCCCCAATATTTACGATTTCTTCCCAATATCCACGACTATCTGAAATTATCTTGCTTACTTACATGGTAACCATGTAAGGGATAATCCCCCTCAGCATGGGAGCTCCACAAAAGCAGGAATTTTCTTACTAGAGTTGTTGCTGGAGCAGTGTGGGGGTACAGCTGGGACTAAGTCCTCACTGACTGATGATGGGTGAGTGAATGGACAATGAGTGGAGTCTGGGCCAGTAAATGCCCCACGAGCGGAGTGGAGTGGGGCTCTGCAGCCAAACTGGAGTAGAATCTTGACTTTGGAGTAAGTAACTCTTTCCCACCTCATCAGTGAGAGGTGGGTGGTAATGATAACCACCTCAGTGGGGGTGCTGAGAGGGTTAAATAGCATATGTTGATAAAGTGCTCCATGTTATTATTGGCTGTCCAGGAAATACTTGTCTGGTTGGCTGGACTGGCATAAAGTTCCTAAGGATTCATAGTGGCCACAGGATGGACACATAGGAAGTTTTAGGAAAGTATAGCTCCTCTGGCTTCTCAGACCCTACTCAAGACGCATCTCTGTTTGGCAAGGTCTGCCTTTGACAGGTACTCCACATACCTCAGCTGTGCTGGCCACTGCTGATGGAAACTAAAGGTCACAGTAACAGCTGAACACTTTGCCCAGCGAAGCCCCAGATAAGGGCCTCTACGTGTCAGTCTGGAAGCTTCAGGAAGACAAGCTCCAGAGCTGCTTATGGACCACTGCCCATTCAGGACCTAGTGCACAACAGGCCTTCAATAGCTACTGAGGGTCTCCCTGGTGGCGCAGGGGTTAAAGTCTCAGTGCTATCAAGCTATCACCAGCCACTTCAGCCTGAGTTCAATCCCTAGCCAGGGAGCTGACCCACATGGAGCAGCAGACCTCTCCTGTCTTCCCCGCTGCTCTCCTCAGCAGTGTATTTCAGTCTGTCTGCCTGTTCTGTTCCCCACTCTGACTCTGGTGAATCCTCTCACCCCCCATACATCTGGCCTGTACCCCGGTTCTTGTATGCATAAATAAATAAAAATAAATCTTTAAACAAAATAGCTCCTGAATGAATGTATGAATGAGTTACTGACCCTGGAATTCTATCCTGGAAGGTAGATATGGCAGGAGAAAAAACCCCACAGTCGCTTCATTTTTTTTTTTTTAATGGATTTTTTTTTTAAAGATTTATTTATTTATTTATACAAGCACTGGGTTGTCAAAGAGCACCCAGTGCTTCGGCACAGTCAGAAGCACGGGAGGGTGAGAGGATTCAGCAGAGCCAGAGCGGGGAACAGAACAGGCAGATGGACCGAAATAGGCAGATGGACTGAACCTCGCCCGGCGGCCGGGGATCAAACCGGCACTGCAGAGGCTGAGGGCAGCTTCACAGCCCAGCGCTCAACCGCTGCGCCACCAGGGGAGGTCCCGCACTGGCTTCATTTTATTTCCTCATCTATACAATGGTGATGACAGTATCAATCTTCACTAGACTGATGAAAGGACTGAATGAAACAGTGAATATAACATGTTCTGAATAGAGCTCAGAACAAACTATCCAATCTTAGCTATTTTTATTAGTAGCAGTAGCTATTACCGACATCTGTGAGTACTCGAACAGATTTTTGGATTCAGTCTCCTCTCTGACCCTCCCTGCAAAGATGGCTGGCAGTTTCTCATGCCACATCTATTCCACATCTATTCCGCGCTGTGCTCTCCAGGTCAGTAATCACAGGCACTCCGATGGCTGGCTCACCTGTCTTTCTCCCCCTCCTATGGAGGGCAAGTTCTTTCATCGGCACATGAGCTCTTTGACAGGGCTACCAGGTCTCTTTCATCTCGGCCTTATGAACACCTGCACACAGGTCTGAGTAGAAATGGAACATGAGCTGCTTCTAGCCTAGATGGCTGGGGACTGACATGTCTCTACCTCATGTTGCAACCAGCTCTCTGGAGAGCAGAGAACTCCACAAATGTGTTTTTAAAAACACACCCTAAGAAACCTTAGGATAACAAGACAGGTTTTAGCAAAACCAATACATCCCTGCACTATCCCTTCCAAATAGCCTCACATTAATAGTTTGCTTTCTTCATAGCAGATATCATTATCAGTTCTCTTAGGAGTTAACTGTCTCCTTCCACCACGTTTAAATTCGACAACAGCAAGGACAGTATCTGATTTACTCCCCACTATATATTCTCATCACCTAAAACTACTCGAGGCAAATGTTAAAGGAACACTGAATGAATTAATGAATTAACACTTTCTTAACATTTTTATTTTTAAAGGACTCAGACATGGGTGCTCTTAAACAAATGCATAAGCATTTGAATACATAAACCAAAGTATGTTAACATGATACAAAAATTAAGGTCATTTTAGAGACAGCAATATGTAAAGCCAAAAATGATCCCTTTTCTATATCACCACTTGGTTGTTCTTAATAGAGGGAACAAATCTACCCTATCAGGTGAGAGGGGAAGAGAGTGGAGTCAAAGGCGGGAAATTTTGGTATCAGAAGACTGAGTTCCAGGATGCCTTTGCTGTGCGAGGGATCGAGACATTAAATGGTACAGGAAGCTGGGCTCCATCATCTGAGAAGACAATTCCTAACTTAGAAAGCGTTTGTGAAATTCAGAGAGTCTGAAGGAGCTTGGGTAACTGTCCAGCACTCGGAGAAGTGATTATCAGCTGACAAGGCCGATGCGGGAGGGGAAGCCACCTCCCCACCTGCTTTCTCTTCCGACAAAGGCTGCAGACACCCGGGACTTACACCCTCTGTGCGACTGAGATGGTGTGTGAACTCCAGCTTCACCTGTGAGACAAAGGGTTAGGCTCTCAGATACCTGGGGGCTCTGCCAAAGTTGGCATTCCCGGAGTCGGTGGGATTCCCAGACCCCAGGCTGTCTTGCCTAGAGGAAGCGACCGGCAAGCATTTGCACATGAAGGAATAAACTAAAGAATGAATGAAGGCGTCTCCTCAGCCCGAGTTAAGGGCCACGGGACCAGCGGGAAGCCGCAGGCCCTCCCCTGCCGGTCTGCCATCGTCCTCCTCCCGGACTACCCCCGGCGGGGAGCGTGTCCTTCTGTCAGCAGCAACTGGAGCCGCGCGGGTGGCGTGAGGACCCGCCCCGGGGTCGTCCGAGGACGCCGCGCCGCCCCGCCTCTCCCGGGGCCCACCTCGTCCCCGGGCGGACGCCGGAGGAGACTCACGTGAGCACCGGGATGGGCGTCCACACCACACAGTAGGGGAAACGGCTCCGCTCCACGTCCATGGCTGCGCCACCCTGCTTCTGGTCCGTCTGGGCCGCCGTCGGCGCCTCCACTTCCGCCATCGCGTGCGGGGGTGGCGGCGACGGCAACAGGAGCGGCAGGCTCCCTTCCGCTTCCGCCATGGTGCGCTCGGCCCGCTCCGGTCAGCCCCGGCCCCGGCGCCGCTCGCCCCCGTGGCGTCACTTCCGGGAGGCGGGGTCCGCCGGGCTCGGCCTTCCCCCGGGAACTGCAGCCGCGCGCCTCTGGGCCCGGCGGCCGCCGACGTCGCGCGGGAGCGAGGGGCGCGCTCTGATGTGCGCGGTCTGGCGCGGGCACCGCCGCCAACTTGTGGGGCGAGCTGAGCGCTCCCGAGACCTTCCTAGGTGCCAAGCACGTGACACACGTCCCAGTCCCCACAATCTGGGTAGACAAGCGACTTTAGGTATTTCTCCCCGGTTGTAAGCGGGAACTTGAGGCGCAGAAGGTGAGTGGCCTCGACTCAAATCCAAGCCTAACTCTTCATTCTGTGATCTCTCACGAGGTAGCGGGGGCATCATGGAAGGGCAGAGTAAAATTGTGTGTGTAAAAGTGAGTGTGTGTGTGTGTGTGTGTGTAAAAGCAGAGGGAGACTTGCCGGAAGACGGAAGACAGTTGAGCTGAGTCTTCATGTTTGCCAGGTGGCGCGGGCGGGGCGTGGCGGGCGGGTGGGAGTCGGGGGTGGAGGGATGGCGCTGCCAGGCAAAGAAAGGAAGGCCTTGCAGAGCACAATTTGCGGGAGTGTTAATATGGTCTTGGCTGGAGTAAATCACAAGCCTTAGCTGTGAGCTTATCTTTTCATTGTGCAACTGGGGAAACTGAGGCGCAGGGACATTAACTGAAATCACATACAACCATATTAAGAAGCCAGGCTCAGGGGGTCTCCCTGGTGGCGCAGGGGTTAAGACACAACCTATGAAGCTGTCGGCAGCCACTGCAGCTTGAGTTCGATCCCCGGCGGGAGAGGTGACCCACAAGGCAGGCGGGAGAGGTGACCCACAAGGCACAGCAGACCTCTCCTGTCTCGCCCGCTGCTCCCCTCAGCAGTGTGTTTCAGTAGATCTGCCTGTTCTGTTCCGCGCTGTGTCTCTGGTGAATCCTCTCACCCCCCACACCTCTGGCCTGTACCCCAGTTGTTGTATGCATAAGTAAATAAATCTTAAAAAAAAAAAAACAAAAAACCCAGGCTCAGATCTTACATTCTTTGGTGGTTTAAAGGATGCCAAAATAGACAAAATGGAATCTGCTAGGGTGGGAAGTGATAGTGGGGGGACAAGGAAGGCAGTAACTGAAAATCAGGCTAGAGGGAGGTATGGCCAAACCCACTCAGGAAGTTGGGAGCTATGCCTCTTGGGGAGGTCTTCTACCATTGGGTTACCCTCCCTCAATTCTTATCTGTAAAAGCGTGCTGTCCTGTTTTTGTCACCTAATATTTTAATGCACTGGGTGTATTTCTTTCTGGTAGGCACCTCTAAGGTCCTGATCTCTGTAGGTAGCACAGTTCCGACAGATGCCCACTTATTAACTTATTAAATGATTGAATGGATGTTTTATAAAGATCTTATAGTTGTAACAGCTGAAAGTGATTCTAACCCACTTATTTGTACCTCGCCTGTGACCTATATGTAGTCTGTAGTATATGATTCTCAAAAGGCAACAGCCAGCATCCAGCATGTGATTTGGAATAGATTAGGTGTGCAGTATGTTTGTTGAATGAATAAATCACGTCTCTTCTTGATTCAGTCACTTCAGCTATCTAATCTCTTCTGGATCACAGGCCCCAGGGAAGAGCTATTCCTTCTACCGTCACTGTCAATCCACAGTTCTAACATGGGGCTGGTGGGTACCCTTTGAATATTTATTGTATATATGGACAAATAAACAACAAAGCCTTTCTTAGGGCTTGCCACAAATTTAGTAGCACTGTGACAAGTACTGCCTTTACTCTGACAACCTTCAGTGGCTCCCCATTGCACTTAAGATAAAACACAAATCTTACCAGAGCTTATGAGGCACTGTGTGTGGATCTGGCCTTCTCTTGCTGCTTTTTTTTTCTTAAAGATTTATTTATGGGGCCTCCCCTGGTGGCGCAGTGCTTGAGCACTGGGCTGCAAAGCTGCCTGCAGTCTCTGCGGTGCCAGTTCGATCCCCGGCCACCGGCGAGGGTCCCACATGGCGTGGCAGACCTCTCCTGCCGCGCCCACTGCTCCCCTCAGCAGTGTATTTCATTGGTCTGTCTGTTCTGTTCCCCGCTCTGGCTCTGGTGAATTCTCTCACCCTCCCGTGCTTCTGACTGTACCTGGTGCTTGCATAAATAAATAAATCTTTAAAAAAAAAAGATTTATGCATCCAAGAACTGGGGTACAGGCCAGAGGTGCACGGAGTGAGAGGATCCACCAGAGACAGAATGGGGAACAGAACACGTGGATCTACTGAAGTACACTGCTGAGGGGAGAAGCAGGCGAGACAGGAGAGGTCTGCTGTGCCATGTGGGTCACCTCCCTGGCCGGGATCTAACTTATGCTGCTGTGGTTTCAGATAGCTTCACAGTGCTGTGCTTAACCCCTTGCACCACCAGGGAGGCCCTGGTCTTCTCTTGCTTCTTTACTACACTACAGCTGCTGTTTTTCTCCCACCCTTCCTTCCCTGCACCCCGTGCCTAGGGACTTGGCACCCACCATTCTGTCTGAAATGTGCCCCCAAACCATGGAAACTGGCTATTCTTCAAGTCTCAAATGAAATGCTGCTTTCTCAGAGAACCCTTTCCTGGTCCCCCGATCTAAATTAGAAAGCCGGGGGCCTCCCTGGTGGCACAGTGGGTTAAGTCTCAGCACTATGAAGCTATTGGCAGCCACTGCAGCATGAGTTAGATCCCCAGCCAGGGAGCTGACCCACATGGTGCCGCAGACCTCTCTCCTGTCTTGCCCGCTGCTCCCCTCAGCAGTGTATTTCACTCAATCTGCCTATTCTCCTCCCCACTCTGTCTCTGGTGACTCCTCTCACCGCCCCCCTCCACCCCAATCTTGTATGCATAAATAAATCAGTCTTTAAAAAAATAAATTAGAAAGCCCGTTAATCTCCCTTAGTCCTCATTTGAGGACCTTGTCCTTCACAGCACATTTATAGCTCTGACTCCCCCACTAGTCTGCAAACTCCTTGAGGGCAGAGACTAAATTTATCTTATTACTTCTATAAACCCAAGATCTACTACACAGTATTTATTAAATACATATTTGGTATACTGAATGAATGGTAAATACTTAGGGGTTGGTATCACATGCTGGCCAGTCTGAAGGTAGGCACCTAGCTTGTCACCTGCCACCTCTCAGTGCCCCAAGCGTAAGGGGCCCATGGAGGTTGGTGGGCACAGTGTTCAGGAGTGGAGTCTGACCAGAGTGCCCTGGTTTCCTTTCCTGTGGCCTGCACCAATCTACCCATGGCCTAGGCAGCAGCAGAAGCAGGAGCACGAGGAGGGTTGAGACCGCTCTCAGAATTGTCCACCACAACCTGTCCACGAGGCCCCTTTTCACACTAACAGGCTCTTTTGGCCTGTGCCCTTGCCTCCTCTGCTGCTGACACCCCCATCACCCACAGACAGATGGGAAATCTCCACCAAAGACTAACACTTCCTTCCAGGCTCAGAGGATCACAGCAGGGTCCTGGAAGAGCTCCTAACAGAGCTCAGGAAAGGATTGATAGGGCTCATAGCTACCCCTCCCCCCAAAGCACACACCGACCTAAAATAGGAATGACCATCTGGATCCACTTATAGGGCTGGCTAGGGGGAGGGAAGGATGGCAGAGCTGGAACTGGCAGGCTGGGAAAGCGACGAGGGTAAGATGCTGCTTGTTTGAAGGGTGAATTTGGAACAAGTCGTCTTGGTGGGAGTCAGGGCACCCCTCAGTTGGCCCCGTGCACTAATCCTAATCCCCGGGGCTAACATACCTTCTCGCTCAGACCATCTCAGCCCTCATCCTGGTATTCAAGGCCCCCGTGGTCTGGCCCAAACCCCTGGCTTCGTTTCCAGCCTCATCTCTCACAGTGTCCCTTAGGACCAGCTTGGCGTTAACCTCATGGAACTGCTGGCTCTTCAGAGAATGAGCGCGGCACTTCATACCTCATGTCTGCTCATGCTGCTTCTTCAGCGGAATGCCCTTCCCCGACTCGCCTACCCACTTTCAAGGTTTCCCACAAATGCTTCCTCTTTGCTCCCAGAGCACGGAGGCTGCTCCTGCCTACTGAATATTCATGTGTACTTGCACTAGCATTAGCTGTTTACATGTAAGCCTCCCCTGAGAGACTGTGAACTCCTTGAGAAGGGGACTGGCTGATCTACTGGTCCTTGCAGCACCCAGCAGACCGGAAGTGCCCTGGGAATACCAACGGAGCTATTTGTTGACCTGGGATGGTCTTCCTAAGGGCTCTGGGGAAGAATCACCCAATCAACAATCCAGGGAAGCAGGGCTGCGCTTGGGGCGATCAGTGCACAGGTTGAAGGAGCTGCTGGGTGGGACGCAGTGTGCGCGGGCGTGAAGGGGAAGGCAGTGTGTCCTTTCTGCTGCAGCCTTTCTGCTCTACCTGCCTTCATTACATCTCTGACTCCTGGAGACTGAGATTCTGTCTTCCAGAATGGTTCCAAACCTTTCCAGAGTGGGGAGGAGACCAGCTGGGGCTGACAGAATCCAAGAAATCATTTGAGGACAGACCTTTTGACCCTTTAGACATCAGTTTAAGAAACGACTTCCTTTTCTGTTCCATTTCATAGCTGCACAGGCTTACCTCAGATTATAGAAAGCACAACTAGGACCAGAACTTAAATCCCCTCCTCCCAGGTGGGCAGTCAAGCACAATGGTTAAACATGTGAACTCAGGATTCAACCAGCAAACGCAGCATTTGAACCTTAGCTCTATCAGAGGTTGCCATACCTTAGATAAGTAACTGTTATGGTGTCTAAAGTGGCAAACATAATAATTCACATCTTGTAAGATTCTTATAAAGTTTGAAGGGCTACAGCTGAACAGCTCCTAGCCAAAAGAAAAACACTCAGTGTTAGCCATCACGGAGGCTGAAAGCACACACCCCCATTGCAGGCTCAACCACTTTAGAAGCACTTCAGAATCATACTTGGGTACGTGTGATCTCACTATGGCTGGGAGCCTCCTCACAAAGCAGGGAAGTGACCAGAGTGAGCGGGTATCATGACATCCATTTCACCAACCAGAAAGATAGCCCAGAGATGTTCAGGAACTTTCCTGAGATCTCAGCGCCTGTTAGATTATGAACCTTGATCTTGGGCTGTCTGCTGGTGACCCCTTTTTGGAGCCATTAGAGAGTAATGAAGCTGAGAGCAGCCTAAGATTCTGTAAATCACCATCAAATAGGCACACAGTTTGGCCTCCTTAGGACCAGGACCTAGTTTATATATATAAAAAGAAATGGGTCAAGAACAGGAGGCAGAATGTGGCCAAACCACAGATTGTCTCCCACTTGCCGTCACATCTATCAGCATGCAGACAGACCCCCACCCGCCTCCCCTGCTAGACAGAGCCTGGCACGTGGTAGGGCACTTACTGGCAGAACAGACAGGGAGAACTCCTGGTTCCCAATGAACTCCAGTGGTCAGGGACCATGCACAATTCTGGATTTGCTATTACACGTCTTCCAGACAATGTAGAGGTCCAGGAAGGCAGAGACTAGTCTGTGTCCATTTTCATTAGGCCAGTGCTAGGCACACATTAGAGCTCAAAAAGTATAATGACATTAAGGAAAAGATTTCTAAAGAATTGGACAGGGAATCAGGTTAGGGATCCAGTCCTGATTTTCCTTTAATCCACTAGGGCCCGCAGGAGCCCACTCCTGGGCTACTGGAATTTGGAACTCATTGTCCCTATTTGAAGAGAGTGAAGACATGGCGAGGTCAGTGGTGCTCAGCATTAGCTGTACATTGGAATAAGTCTGGGATGCTTTAAAGTGATGGATTTTTAACCAAGGAGGTGAGAGACCTGCACATTGAAAAAGAGATTTCTGAAAGAAATAGAAGACACAAAGAAACAGAAAGATATTTCATGCTTATGGGAGAAATAACACTTAATTCTATTACCTGAAGCATCAGTGCAACCCGTATCAAAATTCCAACAGCATTCTCCATACTGTACTTACTGTGATGTTTTAAGGTTAAGAATGTTTCTAGGGGGCCTCCCAGGTGGCAAAGACAGAGGGGTTAAAGACAGAGGACTATCAAGTTATCAAGCTATCAGAGGCAGCACGAGTTCGATCCCCGGCCAGGGAGCTGACCCACAATGCACAGCAGACCTCTCCTATCTCCCCCGCTGCTCCCCTCAGCAGTGTATTTCAGTCCATCTGCCTGTTCTGCTCCCCACTCTATCTCTGGTGAATCCTCTCATCCCCTGCACCTCTGGCCTGCATCCCAGCTCTTGTATGCATAAATAAATCTTTAAAAAAATGGAGTACCATGGATCTTGTCATTATCTCTATGTAGTTTTGCCTTTTCAGAATGCCATATAGTTGGACTCATACAGTGTATCTTCCAGACTGGCTTCTTTCACTAAGCAATATAGTTTCTTCAGTCTTTGTGGCTTGTTCACTTCTTTTTATCACTGAAAAATGTTCCATTGTTGACACTACCAGTTTATCCACTCACCTCTGAAGGACTTCTTGGTTGCCTCTAGGTTTTGACAACTTTGAATAAAGCTGCTGCAAACATTTGTGTACCGATTTTTGGGTGGATATAAGTTTTTAACTCATTTGGGTAAACACTGAGGAGAGCAATTGCTGGATCTTATGGAGAGACTGTATTGAGCTTTGTTAGGAAACTACCAAACTGTCTTCTGTACCATTTTACATTACCATCAGCAAAGAGAGTTCCTCTTGCTTCACATCCTTATCCTGTTGCTCCATCATCCTTAGCATTGTCAGTTTTGGGAATTCTAGTCATCCTGGTAGGTGTGTAGTGGTATCTCACTATTGGCATAATTTGCTGTTCCCTAATGACATAACACTGAGCATGTTTTCATGGGCTTATCATGCTTGTCCTCTTTGGTGAGTTGTCTATCAGATCTTTTGCCTACTTTTAAATTGGATTATTTTCACATTTTTCTATTGTTTCATGAGTTTTAAGAATTCTTTGTATACTTTGAAGCAAGTTCTTTACCTGATGTACTTTGTAAATATTTTCTCTCAGTTTTTGACGTCTCTCTTTCACTCCCTTAACAGTGATGTCATAGATTAGTTTTTAGTGAAGTCCAACTTACTGATTTTTTTCTTTCATGAATTGGGCTTTAGGTGTTGTATCTGGAAAATCATTGCCAAGCCTAGGGTCTCCTATGTTTACCTTCTAGAAGTTTTATCATTTTTTATTTTATTTATTTATTTATTTAGAGGCATGTTTTATTTATTCATTTATTTGTCTGTTTGTTTGTTTATACATGCACTGGGTACAGTCAGAAGCGTGGGAGGGTGAGAGAATTCACCAGAGCCAGAGCGGGGAGCAGAGCAGGCAGAAGGAACGAAGTACACTGCTGAGGGGAGCAACGGGCGGCAGGAGAGGTCTGTGTGCCATGTGGGACCCTCCTCTGGTGGCCGGGGAGCAGCCGGGGATCGAACCGGCGCCACAGAGGCCGCGGGCAGCATCACAACCCAGCGCTCAACCGCTGCGCCACCGGGGAGGCCCTCATTTTTTATTTTATAGGCAGTTCTATGATATATTTTGAATTAATTTTTATGAATGGTGGCAAGTCAACATTTAGATCCACTTTTCTCTGCATATAGATACCTAGTTATTCTGCACTATTTATTGAAAAGATTATCCTTTCTCCTTTGTCAAAGACCAGTTTGACTATATTTGTGTGGACCTATTTCTGTGTTCTCGATTCACTCCATCCATCCACTTGTCTGTTCCTTTGCCAACACCACACAGTCTTGATTACTGCAGCTTTCTGATAAGTGTTGAGGTTGGATAAATCATTTTTCTGACTTGTTCTCTTTTACTTTGGTATTTGTGTTGGCTGCTCTGGGTCTTTTTACTTCACTATGTAAACTTTAGAATCTGCTTGTCCATATTCACAAAATAACTTGCAGGATTTTGATTGGGATTTCACGGAAGCTATAGAGCAAGTTAGGAAGAAATGAAATCTTAGAGTCTTTTCCATGAATGTGAACTATCTTTTCTCTTATTTTGATATCCCTTAATTTCTTACATCAGTTTTATAGTTGTCCTCATTTATTCCTAAGAATATTCCTTTTTATTGTTTTGATGCTGGTAAGGGTTGAGATGGAGCACAGGGAATTTTTAGGGCAGCGAAACTATTCTATATGCTAGTATAATGGTAGATACATGTAATGCATTTTTCAAAACCCATGGAATTGTACAATACAAAGAGTGAACCCTAAATATAAACTATGGACTACAGTTAACGTATCAGTGTTGGTTCATTAATTGTAAATATGCCACATTAATGCAAGATACTAAAAAGGAAAACTGAGCCAGGGACAGAGGAGGTGCGTGGGACCCTCCGTATTACCTGCTCAATTTTCTCAAAGTCTGAAACTGCTCTGAAAAAATAAAGTCTATTAATTAAAAAAAAAAAAGTACCAACTCCAAATGAAAGTGAACCCCTGGTGAAGTCTTCTAATGGCTCCTTATTGCTCACAGGACCAAGTCTACAGTCTCACCATGCACAAGTTCCCCCACAATTTCACTGCCCCTCCAGTCCATGGCCCACCCCACCCTCTATAGTGTAGCAGAACCAAATCACTCAGGCTCCATAAAGGAAATGAGGCTTGATGCTGCTCCCCTGGCCTGGTACATTACTCCTTCCGGCCTGATCGGACAGGTCTTCAAGCGTCTGCAGACTTTCTGTCTCTTGCGCAGACTTTCTGTCTCTGAGCGTACCTTGCTGGCCTCTGCCTGGTTCTTTCCAAATGTACAAACAGAAGAGGTCAAACATTTCAGTAGTGAAACTATTGTTCCCACAGTGCTGGACAACAGTTCCCACAGTGAGCACCAAGGAACCTTAAGGTGGCATATCAAATTCACAGAGGGCACAGTAGAACAGTCTAAACCTGAAAGATACACAACATCTGTTGGCTACTAAGAGAAACACTCTCTTGAGGTAGTTCACAGTTTCATCATTAGAATGTGCTATATTCCTTTGATGGTGTTTCAGTGATCGCTGTGATAAAAAGCAAGTGAAAGTCAATATGGAGCAGGAAATGAGGGGGCAGTGTCGAGTCTGGTCAGAAGGTGTGATGAGTTTTGCAGTGCCCAGCACTCACATATGTGCTATTAGTGACTGTAGCTCTTTAAGAAACACAAATATTGCTTCTTCTAATTATCTGTATTACCTTATTAAATGATAACTAACTTGCTAGGAATAAATTCTTACTAAGTGATTTGGGTTTAAATACTTACAAAGTTGAACTTTCAGGTATTTCTTTTGGCTTAGGAATGCCACAAAAAATTAGAGACACTAATGGTGGTGTGAGTGTGCTGTGAGGTGAGAAAGTTTGGGAACCTCTAGTCTAAGAAATCAATCTAATCCACAGCACATCAAAAACTGCAGGTTGTAAAATCAGTTTGGTGGGTTACAACCAGAGTTTTTCCTCCTTAATAGAGAAAGAACGGTAAACAGAAGACACTGCATGTAACAAGAGTAAGTACCGCTATGAAGACACGCTCATTATATACACACACGTGCACGTGGGTCCCTGGGTCTCGTGGGTCACAATGTAAGAATGTGCATTTGTCGTCTGGATTCTGATTTTAAAAATCTGAAAATCCACTAAGATGCCAGTCTCCTTATTTTATATGGAAAACAGTCTGGAGAGTGAACGTTGGTTACTACAAACCCGTCACCAGTGTGGGGTGGCCAGTGCCCCCTACGGCAACCCCCAAAGGCAGGTGCCAAAGGACCTGTGGTGACTCCAAGTCACAGAGCAACCTAGGTGAGGAATGAGGTGCCCTCACTTTGGTCCCAAGGCCCATTTGCACCCCACAAATGCCACCAGCCACACCTAGAACAAAATGGTTTTAATCAATTGCGTCACCCTCACTCTCCTGGGAGCGGAGCAACAAAAAGGCTCGGCTCCTGCCCCCAGAGGACAGTAAGGCTTATGTGTCTCTCCACACTGCAGGGCCCAGGCCGGGCAGGCAGGGGGCGGGAGGCGGGAGGCAGGGAGAGAGGAAATGGCGGGTGGCTCCAACACAGGAAAGTAAGGGGCCCCTGCTGGCCCTCGGGCCCCAAGGCCCAGTCCCAATCCTCCCGCTGTCCCCTCCCTGGCGAGAGAAAGGTCATGGAGAAGAGACAGGGGAGCAAGTCCTAGCAGCAGGAGAAGCAGCAGCAGCTGTTTCCTTCCCCAATAAATATGCTTCATTACCAAGCTAGAGGAGAGGGCTGGGAAGAGGGACGGGGTGGGGAGGAAAGGGAGAAGCTGCCACCTGTGTTGCCTGGATTAAAGCAGTAACGAGATGGTGCCAGACCCCCCACCACCATCCGCACCCCCCCTGTCTTCTTAAAACTGTGAAAAAGCTTTTAACATGGCCCTCCTGTCTCCAGGGCAGCTCTGAAGCCTGACTGAGAGGAGGCACCTGGCAGAGACAGGGGCGGAGGGAGGGAGGGCGGGCGGGAGGAGAACGGAGGCTGCTTCTCCCCAGAGGCTGCAGCTGGAGGGCTGGAGCCAAGTAAGCACTGAGGGGAAATGGGGGGAAGGGAGGAGGGAGCACCCACTACCATAGCAGCTCTGAGTGGAGAGCCCAGGGGGCAGAGAGGGGCCTTGGTGAGTGGTGGGGTGACTGCTGCATCCAGTGTAAAGCTCGGGCTGCTGAGGAGAGAGGGGGCTGAGTTGGGGACTTCCCATCCTAGTGGCTCAGGAGACCCACCCCCCCTCCCCCCAGAGCAGCAGGGGACAGAGAAAAGCCATCACTTCTTTGGTCTTTGTGGCGGCTCAGCATGTGGGTTGGGAGGGAGGGAGAGGCCCTTAGCGGGGAGGGGAGGGGAGCGCCACCTCAGTGAGAGTAGGCCTGGCTGGGAGCTCTGGCAGGAAGGTCACAGTGAGGCCAAGGAGCGCCCCAGAGAGGAGAGTGGCCGAGGTGCAGAAGGGCTGGCACAGGTGGGTGGGGTATGGTGTGGTGCCCCACCCTCTGCCAGGCCTTGAGGATAGGCTGAGCCCCCAGAGGTGGTCAGTGAGAACAGGTGCAGGGCCCACAGCCAGTGCCCACCAAGAGGGCAAGGATGCTCTGCCACCAGGGCAGTGACCTGGCCTTGCTGACTTCGGGGCTCCCATCCCTCCTCCTGTTTCCACCCTGATGCGGTGGCTCTGGAGGGAGGGTGGGACTGTATCCTTTTTCAGAACCTTCCCTGAAGACCAAGGGGGAGCTAGCCTGGCCTGTCTGGAGCAAGAGTAGCAACCCATCGAGGCTAGCCCTTACTGGTGGGGAATTCCACTCCCCTTCCTGCTGCCAGCTGAAGGGGAGGGCGGTCCCTGGAGTCCGTGTGAGCCCTGGCCTCCCCGCCTGGCCTGAGGTGGGCCAGAGCCCTCCAGGGACATGGAAGCAGGAGGCGGGGGGGCATACTGAAGGGTGTCCCCCCTGCTCTTCTCAGGGTTGGGGCCATTCAGAGGCAATGCACCCCAAAGTCTGAAAGCCATGAGTTGTAGCAACAACCCCGCCGCGATGCCAAACTAACAAACAAAACAGGGGAAATGAAAAAAAAAAAAAGGGTGTGGGGGGAAGACAAATCAAAACAGAAATCCCTTGACCTCCTGCCCAGGTGGAGGATCCAGCCAGCAGCAAGGGCTGGGCACCGGGGCCAGGCGGGTCTAGCTGGGCCGGCACTGCACCTGGCCCTCAGAGCTGTCCTCGTCGTCAGAGGCCCCAGCACCTGCGCTGCTCAGGCCCGTGATCCGGTAGCCCATGTTCAGCAGCATCACCTCCAACGGGTCCGCATTCATGCGCCGCTGGTTGGCTTGGGAAGCACCCTCCATGTCCTCCACGACCCGTCCTGTGAGGTCTTCACTCTGTGGCGGGAAGCACACACACCCCTGGGTAGACACGTGGGGGCGGCCGGGAACACGCGCAGACTGAGCTGAACATATGGCGGGGCATGGACAGCCCAGATGCATGTGGAAACCCGAGGGAGACGACACACCACGCGGTCAGGTACATGGGGACCCGGACAAGGACACGGCATGGGAGGACACACCGGGACCAGGATGTGCTGTGTAGACACGACGCCCCCGCCCCACCCTTCCCTTCCCCTCTCCCAACACGCCTTCCTTGCTCCTCTTCCTCTCCCCTCAAGGGAGGGTCTGTAGGGTTCTCTCTTTCCCAGCAAATTGCCTCTGGAATTAGATATGCCACTTGACCTGTATTGCCAGCTGGAAAGTGGGAGGAGGTGGGGCAGAGGGGAGTGAGAACTCAGGCTGCCCCACCTGGCTACCCACGCTGGGAGGCTGGGAGTGGAGGGGGCCAGCTGTCCTAAGCGTCCCTGAGGTCAGACGCTTCTCAAGCATCTCTTTTTTAATCTTCACTGCAACCTCTGGAGGTGGTGCTGTCACTCCCACATACAGAAGATAAAAATGTGGCTCAGAGATAAGGTTAAGTCCCTCAGGCAGTGAGCAGAGGGACCAGGATTCAAACCACACCCCACCAGACTACAAAGCTTCTTGCCAGGGGACTGGGGGACTGGCCTCTGCACAGCTGCTGGGCCCACGCAAAGGGGGCAGCCTCTGAGTAACTTCCTCAGGAGATGGTGTGGCATCTGCTCCCTCCTGCCCCATGACCTGCCCCCATGTCCTGGGCCATTGTCTCCTGCATGTGAGTCTCATCTTTGCAGCTCCCCTAAGGCCAGCTCTCACGCCTGCAACTGCCCACTCTATCTGGAACTTTCAGGACTTGATGGCATCGCCTAGACACAGCCTTGGGCCCTCAGGTAAGAGCTGACTCTGCCAGCAGCTTCTAGCCTCTGTGTGACTTGGTTTTCTTCCCAACCCTCATAGGCTCAGCCAGAGGCTGAGGGTCCATCCCTCCCTTCCTCCCGTGTGGCTCTGGTCACTCGTCCACATCCTCACCTCTGGCCGGGGGTTCCAGAGCCGCACAACAGGGTCGATGCCGCTGGTGGCCAGGAAGCAGTAGCTGGGGTGCGGCTGCAGGCAGTTGACAATGGACTCGTCTCCCTGGAGCACGCGGACCAGGTTGGTGGTCTCCTTTTCCCAGATGAAGAAGGAGCCATCGTCAGAGCCGCTGACGATATACTGAGCATTGCTGGTGGAGGGGGAAGGGCAGGGAGGTCAGGCAGGGTGCTTCCTACAGTTGCGAGTAGAGGCTCCATGGCTTGGGGAGAGGGGCAACAGGGACCTCTAGGGCCACTCAGCCCTCAAACTGGGGCCTGACAGTTGACTCAAAACTTCTACACACACAGCGATCCTCTCTATCCCACCAAGCCCCGGCCACTGCTCACTATTCTCTGAAACTCAGGGCCAGGACAGCCTGGGTCCCTAGATTGCACAGCGCTACATAAGCCCCTCGAGGAGGATGGCAGGACTAGATCTTCCATCTCCAAGGGCTCTGGGAATACCTTGTCTAAGGTTCCTGGGTCAGACCCGCCACACCCTAGAGTACATCTGCCCTGCAGAGAGGCACCCGGGGCACTTACAGAGGATCTGGACTGAGGAATTTCCCATTCGAGTTGTCTCACCTACCCAAAGGAGGCAACCTTCCCCGAAGGAGGGTTTGGCGATGGTGTCTGAGACATAGGCTGTGTCCCTCGGCACCGGGTAGCTCTGAGCACATAGCGGGTGTGCCGAGGCTGCCAGCCTCTGAGGGGTCTTGCCTCGGACCCCCAGCAGAGGGAGGTTCCATGAATCCAGATAAAGAAACCAAGTTCCGCACGCGGACACAGACGGAGGAGGTTGGGGACAGAGGAACAGTCCACACACAGTGCTAGATGCCTCATGGGTGGTATCGTTAGTCCTCATGAGCGTGTGTGTGGGGGGCCCATGAGCGGGGAGGACTGGTGTCATTTTACAGATGAAGAAGCCAAGGCTCACAGAGCTAAAGACATCTGCCTGCCCAAGGACACAGAAGCAGAGCTGGGATCTGAGATTCTTTTTTGAAAGCACTGTGTCCCCAGACCCCCCAACCTCCTCCTCTTCGGGGTCTCAGACCTGCCAAAGAAATTGGCCTCCTTGATGTCTGTGGTGGTGTTGCAGTGGCCACAGTAGCGGAACTGATAGTCGTAGCTTCGCTCCCGCAACACCATCTCGTCCTCTGAGATGGAGTCCTTGCGGCTCGTGCTGCGGAGGCGGACAGGGCCGCCGCCACCAGCTCCCTTCTTCTCCTCTGGCGGCAGAGACCAAGGAAAGGTGAGAGTCCTATATCCCCTCCCTTCCCCTCCCCCAACCGTCCCCATCCCATCCTGTTTTCAGCTCAAGTACCAGCAATGCAGGGCAACCTGCTTCTACCCCTCCCCTGGAAAAATACGAAGAAGCACGTTTGAATCCAACCCTTGGAGATGTTCAAGAAGAGACCTGTGATGCCAGGGGGTTTGGGAGTCAGGTCCCTGATTAAGGTCTGGAAGCCCCAAGGACACACAGGCCCAGGGTCTGTTCTGTGAAGTGACAAGCAAGGAGGGGAGGGTGAAGCACTAGCAAGAGAGCTGAGGGTGGGTTTGTCAAAATAGATCCACAGCTCTGAAGGCAGAAGGTCCAAGCCCTTCCCCTTTGGAAGTTACCATGGATCCCAACGAAAGCACTGGATTGGTGAAGTACCCTGGGTAAGACCACACCAGTGTTCTCAGTGCCTTAAAAGTACCTGTTCCTGCCTGCTTCAGGGCCATTGCACATGTTTGCTCCTATGCCAGGAACTCTTTACCTCCCACAGCTACATTTTGTATTTTCAACTCTTCCTCTTGATCCTTGAGACCTCAGCTTGGATGTCTGTTCCTCAAGAATTACTGTCAAGCCCTCTTCCTCCATCACCATCTCAGGTCCCCGTGGCACTCATCACACTGTTTCTTCATTTACTTGGCCCCTACACTAGGCTACAATCCCCAGGAATACAGAGATCTCATTTGATTTGTTCACAGCTGTGTCCCCAGGACCCAGCAAAGGGCCAGGCATGCACACAGTAGGTGCTTGATAAATATGTAAGGAAACAAATCAGCTGCATGGTTAGTAAACTGCCAAGGAGGGGTGAGGCCCCATCTGTCTCAGGGAGCTCACTCCACATACAATTACCCAGCTTGCTCTGCGATGCTAACAAGGTGCGGCCCTGTGCAGGTAAGGCAGCAGACTTAGAGAGGTTGTGTTTTGCCCAAGGTCACGTGGCCACTACATGCTGTGCCCAAGGCATTTCCAATGCCCTGTACTGCTGCCTCTGCGGACACCCGCAACCTGGAAGCCCTGCACAACCCCCCGCTGCGGCCCCTTATTCAGATGCCCAACGGAGCAGCCAAGACCTGTCTGTGGGCAAGTGCGGATGCCTGGATGGAAAGATGACCTGACGGGGTTCAGCTTACTCTTACTCTGAGTTCTGGACACTCCACTAGATGCCTCCAACATGCTATTACTAATCTTCAATAAACTCTAAAAGGGCGGTGCTAGCATCCCCCCTTGTCAGAAGACGAGTTAGTCTCAGACAGACCATGTCATGTGTCAAGTCTGCATGTTTCTGAATCAGCAGATGGGTTCTCCCACTCCAGAACCTGCCCTTCTTAGAACGTCATGTAGCACCTCAAATAGGGACAGAACCCCTTCTCAGTGCCCACTTACCACCATCATTTTTGGAGAAGAGGGCGGCTGTGATGTCTCGGCCCAAAGCATCACAAGCGCTGCTGTGGGCCTGTTCTGGGAACTTCCCTTTGAAGTCATCCAGGCACTCCAGGGCCTCAGCCACGTACTTGAGCTCAAACAGGCAGCGGGCCAGGCGGAAGTGTGCCTTCAGGTGGCATGGGTTTAGGGAGATGGCCTTGAGGCAGTCCCTTAGGGCATCATAGTGGTCACCATCCCTGGGAAGGCAGGGGAATGTGGCTTGGAGGTGGGGCCATGTGGCAAGCAAGGAGTCCCCATTCCGTCTCCTCTGCTTCCTGTGGCCACCCCAGCCTATCTCTGCTGACTCAGGGCAAGGGTACTGGGCTGAAGAGAACCCTTGCTCAGCCCAGGCCTGGTTCCCTGGGAGACAAGAGTATGTTAAAGAAGCAAGCCAGGAACTTGGGTTTTGGGTGTGTGTGTGTGTGTGTGTGTGTGTGTTGGGGGGGGGGGTGGTGGAGGCTGGGTGTGTGGCAAAAACCAATGTCAGGCTGCCCTCTGCTGGAAACAGAGTGCAACTGCATGCCCGCTCACCCCAGGCGCCCGCAGCTCTGCAGCAGAAGGCTTGGCATCTTGCCCACCTCAGGCTCCCCAAGTCCTCCTCCTTCTTTCCTCCATCCATCTCCTAAAATCCCCCCGGCTGGCCTCAAAGCCTTGTCCATGGTAGGGGGCCCACAAGGACAGTTCTGTGGTCTGGGGAAGCCAGAAGTGCCAGGCGGGGACTCAGGGTCTGACCAGCAGGCAGCAAGCCCTCAGCCAGACCCCCCTCTGTCCTGGCTGACTGATCCACAGCAGCTGTGGCCTCTACCTCCCGGGGCTGGAGGATGGGGCCTGACAGTCTGGCGCAGTCAGCTCTCTGGAAGCTGATGGCGAGGAGTGTGCACATCAGAGCTCCAAATTGCCCCACTCACTTCTCCAGCCTCCTAGAGCATGGATGAAGGGAAGTGGGAATGGTGTGTGGGGGCAGCAAGTTGGGGAGAGTTGCAAGAGAAGTCCGTCCTCCTCCCACCCTGTGCCAGAATATAGGACACATCCACACCCCCACCCCAGAACCTTATTCCCACCTCTCATCAGGAGCTGCTTCTCCTTTGGGAGCTGTTTCTTGGCTGGCTGGTTGGTTTTCTGCCCAGCTGAGGTGGGCCTAGGACTCGACTGTGGCAAACAGCACTCCCCAGGACTGACAGCCCCTCTGTGACGAGAGCACGGCTCCTGACCTTCCCACAAAGGCCAGAACAGGCCTGACATGGGCAGTGTCCAACTGCACCTGATCTCCCATGGCACTCAGAGGGAGCAGCCAGCCCCTGGAGCTGCCACATTCACACCAGGAACAAGCAGCTCCGCCAGTACGGGGGCAGGCAGGAGACAGCGTGCTTCCATGCGTCACAATGAGTGGCTGTGACGAAGGAGCAGGCGCTGTTTGGAAACCCAATTACGGCCTGCAAGGTGCCCCTCAGAGCTCCTGGGGAGAATCAGACCAGAGACCAGCCAGAAGCCAGGGGGCGACAGCGCCCACTGCATCCAAGAGCAGATGGCAGCCCTGGGGAGACTGACCTGGGACAGAATGTGACATTCTAGGGGTCATTGGCAGGCATGTGGGGATGGGGAGAGAGCAGCCTGGCCCCAGGGCTCACCCATCTAGACCTACGCCAGATCAATCTCCCTGAAAGGACAGCCCTCAGAGCATCCTCTCATGCTCAGAACTCTTCAGTGGCTGCCCATCACACACTGAATCGAGGCCAAAACGCCACCGCTCTGCATTCCAAGTCCTTCCCAGGCCGGCCCCAGGCTACCTCACAGACTCATCTCCTGCCAGTCCTTTCCCGAACCCTCTGCTTCAGCCAAATGGATTTGTTGTTCTGCAAACAAGCTCTTCAGTCAGTCCCCCACCCCCACGCCTTTGTTCACACCATTTTGTCTCCCTGGGAATGTCCTTCCCCCATGATCCCCTCCTCCTTTTCATCTCCTTGTCTACGCCTGCCCACACTCAAAGCCCATTCAGATACCACATCTTCCTGATGCTTCCCTGATCCCCAGCTAAAGCCACCTAACTTTTTTCCTGAAGCCCACAGCATTTCATCTGACCACTCAGAGACTAACTGCGCCCTGCCTCTTTGGTGATATGCTATGTTCATGTCTTTCTCCCCTAGGCACTCTGGAATCCAAGAGCTCAGAGTGACTGTATCTAGCACATAGTAGGAGTTCAGAGAACATATCGAGTAAATGTGGTTTGGGAAATGCATGAGTGAAACAGCTCTCAGCAGGATCAGGACCAGGATCACTGTGTTCTATGCAACTGTTGGGACAGGGAGGTGAAACCCCCAACAAAACTGTCATCTCCTGAGTTTGGTACTATATGAACCCTTGGTATACTCCTGATGCCTGAGCTAAGGTCTTTGGGGTAGCATCTTCACAAACCCCCATCTATCGTCCTGCTAACTTGGGTGGGTTTCTTAAGTTTCCCTTCCTGGCCTGCCGTGTTGCAGCCAGACGATGGCACACCAGCTGGCCCGTCTGTCTGGGCAGAGCCGACGGATGCCAGACGGAGCAGAAATGGCTGTGGGCCCAGCTCTATCCATCTCCAGTCCTGGCCCTGGCAGGGGGATGGGGTCTGCCTGTCTGCTTGCCTGCTGGTACTGTAGGCAGAAGGGCTAGGGACCCCTGATGGTGTCCAGAGATAAAGGATACTTATGCTTATGGACTTACTCCTTTATCATCGGCTACTACAACCCAGCATGACCCACAGCTGGCTTCAGGTCTCTGGGACCTTGATTGTGCTTGGTCCAAAGGATCTCAGAGCACAGGAAAGTAAGCTCCAAGGTCAGTAATGGAGGCACAGATTAATTTCAGATGGCTATCAACTGAATTCTCTAAATGGCCTCATTTCCATCCATCAAGATTCTGTGTCTCTGAAATTCAGTTTAAGGTCCAAATTCTCCAACAGTTGGGGTTAAGCAGTCTCTCATATCCTACTTCTCAGTGGCCACAGCACATTACAACAGAGCACCATGTTGAAACTACTTGGGAACGTGTTCCAGTTAACCAAGTCTTCTTGACTAGCGGGTCAGGTACCTGCTCACTACCAGCCTAGAGGCAGGGAGGAGAGGTCTGGGCCCAAGAAGCCCTTACTCGGCAGCAGGATGTCACTGCCACCTTCCCTAGATGCCTCAGCACTTGGGTCCATCAGGCCTACTGCCTCCGTCCCTCATCCTGGTCTGGCTTTACTCACCACTTGCGCTTCATGTAGGCGGCAGCTCGGTTTCCATAGAGCATGGCATTGTGAGGGGCCCTCTGCACGGCCTTGCTATAAAGCTGAATGGCCTGGGTCCACTGCTGGCAGGCAAAGGCCTCATTGGCTTGCTGTTTCACACGCTCCAGGTATGGGGGCAGCTCTACCTGGGGACTATGGGAAAAACAGAGCCAAATTGGGACAGCCAAAGGAGGTCAGAGCAGTCTCTCAGAAATCTGTAGCCCTTCCTGGGGGCCACCATGATTTTTTTAGCCCCCAGGAAATGCACTGTCATTTACAAGAAGGGACCATTACTATCCTTGTCTGAGTTACCATGAAAGGTAATGGATATAATTCTAGATACTCATGAGTCCGTAAAAAAAAGAGGGGCAGAAATAAAACTGACCTGAGCAGCCTTAGGTACTTCTTCATCCAACTCCTGGGTCTGACCGTCACTGACACCACCTGCCTACATGCTGATCCTTAGGGCCACCCAAGTTCCTCCCAGGATCTCTCTTTAGAGAACTGCTTCTCTCAAGGGCTAAAGGATTTGAGCACCTCTGGATCAGAAGCCAGCACAGTGTCTGGCAGAGAACAGAGGCAAAATATGCTATGGTATGGAGAAGAATACAATGGGGAGGCCCATCTGTGTGGAACCCCTTTAGAAGGGAGCTTGGTACTGAGATACAGCCACCCCCTTGGGTCCTGACTCAGCTACAGGTATGAAGCTGCACGGCCCGTCTAACTAACTACAGTCCTACCAGGAAGGAGTAGTACTGGACCACAGGCCACCCTCCAGAAGTCTCTCTGCCCTGGTTCCCTGACTCTGTGGTGCATGCCTGGGTGGGTCAAGAGGGTTTACAGGACATGCCCCTCCCTCTGCCCTGTAAGATATAATTGGACTTGGGAGGGCTGGACAAGTTAGGCTGGGCTCACCTGACATGTCCCCTACTCTCGGGCAGCCGAAAGCCGTTGCTGTGAAGGTGCAGGCCATTGGATACACCGTTGGACACACCATTGGTGGACATCTTGCCATTCTGAACTTCTGGCAGGGGATGGGGAGAAAGGAAGAGCAACAACTCAAGAGGATGGCCTCATTTCTTCTCTGCAGCCCTCAGCTTCCATCGCAGGGTTGAATGGTTCCTTAGTGTGGCTATCCTCCCAGGGTTAGATTCATTCCCTGAAAAGATCTGATGGACCAGCAGGCAAGGGCATAAAGAAAAGTCTGTGCGCCCTCTGCTGGCTGCAGAGAGACACAACTTCAACTTGGCATTGCCCTTAGAAAGAGGGGTGGGAATGGTGGCTAAGGAGGTGCCTAAATCTACTGCAGGTTCCAGGAAGAAGTCAATGAGGACATTGATCCAAGACAAGAAGGGAAGGGCAACTACTTCAGGTGCTCAGGAGTCACATCATGGAAAGAACCTGCTTTTTCGGAGGGAAGCAAGAGGGCTGTGTTGCCAACCCTTTGCAGACCTCTCTGACTTCTGCTATCTTCCTGCTTACTGTAGAGATGATATCACTTCAGAGAACCTACTCCTCTGGGAGAATCACAGTCACAGCACAAGGTAAGGGGCAGGCTTCTCACACAGGTAGCACATACTCAAGCTCTGCAGCAGGGGGAACTTACCCCCTGAGGAGTGGCATTTTCTAGGCAAGAGGAAGGTATACGGCCGCTGCTTGTAAGTCAGGTCAAACAAATAGACCTAGAGTGGAGGGATCAAGAGAGATGAAGGCAGTGAAATGAGAAGTGGTTGGGGCAAGCACTGGTGACACTCGGGAACACAGTGAGTGCTGAGCATGGAACCAAGGAGAGAGGTGGGGAGAGGTTTCTATGGGGCAAAGCTCAAGGAGGAAATCTTCCCAGTTGCTGGGCCTTTTAGGGTGGACCGCTGGAAATAATGTCATTAATTAGAATCACATGTTTAAATTGAAACCCCCTCCCCCTCCGCCCCCCTCCGCCCCAGAGATCACAAAGCCAAATGACTCATTTTACAGAGAAAAAAATAAACCCTCAGAGAAGGGAATCAATTTGCCCAAACAAATAGAAGCTTTAAAAAATTACAATAAAAACAAAAGAGAAAAAATGAAAAATAAAAACAATTTGCAGCCTCCCTGGTGGCACAAGGGGTTAAGATGCAACCTATAAAGCTGTCTGCAGCCTCTGCAGCAAGAGTTCGATCCCCCAACTGGCCAGGGAGCTACCCATATGGCTCAGGAGACCTCTCCTGACTCACCCGCTGCTCCCCTCAGCAGTGTACTTTGGTTAATCTGCCTGTCCTGTTCCCCACTCTGTCTCTGGTGAGTCCTCTCACCACCCCCCACACCTCTGGCCTGTACCCCAGCTCTTGTATGCATAAATAAATAAATCTTAAAAAAAAAAAACAATTTGCCCAAACACTGCTAGTTAGTTCTCTTGGTAAATAATATCTATATTACTTAACATTTACTGCATTCTTACTTTGCTCCAGAAATGCTGCCAAATCTCATTTCATCCTAGAAACCTTCCCATGAAGGAGGACTATTATAATCACCCCCTTTATAGATGAAGAATGTAGTCTCAGAGTTTAAGTATTTTATCCAGGGCCATAAAAATAGCATGTGGCATAGCCAGGACTCAAAACCCAGTCTGGCTTAAAACCACTCTGCCAGACGCCTCTCCCCCCATCCTCACGCCACCCTAGGCCAGGTGATGGCTCAGTCTCTGGCGCTAGAGCCCTATTCTGAACCTGGGAGCTCACCTCTCCTCCATCTTATTTCTTTGGTACACAATCGCACCTTTCCTTGTAAAGTCATCAGCTGTTTCACTTGCCATGTCTCCCACCATCCTGGGATAGATCCTTTTTCACATTTGTCTCCCTCATGTTTATGTAAAGCTAGTCCCAGAGGAAGTGCTCAACGAGGGCTTGTAGAATAAATGAATTTTAGCAAGGCTTACTAAATACCCTGACTGAGAGCCCACAAAAAAGAACACTATCAAAGAACATTTCCTAAAGTTGGACCTGTGTCACAGCAGAGCTGTGTGTTCTGAGCCCCAGGATTTCCTCCTAGAAAAAGCAAATGAAAAAACCGAGGCTCAGAAAAACGAAGAGACTTGTTCAACAAAAGACTTGTTTCTAGACCAAAGCTAGCAAGCAGGTCAGCATTAGAAGACACAGGTTAGCATTAGAAGACAGGTATGTTAGTTCTGAAGCTAATGCTCAGGAAAAGACCAGACCAGGGCCTCTCTGGGAATTTCAGTCATGCTGTGCCTTTCCCATGTCTCACCATGACATCACTTACAATGAGCTGTTGTTTTTTTCTGCCTCACTGCAGTGGCTATGAGGCACACAGCCTGGCTGTGGGGCACAGGGTGGTGGTGGGGCACAGAGACCTTGGACAGCTATACATACCTGCTCCCCTCCCATGTTGACCAGCAGCTCGGTGCCATTGGGGCTGAAGGTCACATAGGTGGCAACCAGCACTCGCAGACGGTTGTTGTAGTCAGGCAGCTTCACCGGTAGGTGACCTGCAGGTAACAGCCCAGTCAGTCTCATGTGAGACTCCCAGTGGCCCACAAAAGGGACAGGAAATTGTGTGAAGTTAGCCACCACAATGATGAAGTGATCGCCTTCCCCACAGAAGTGGCTAAAGTGGAGCACCTACTATATATGCCAGGACAAGTGCTTCGTTTACTGAAAAAGAAATTAAGACTCCTCGGGCAAGCAATTTGCCAAAGGTCACAAAAGGCTGGTCAATAGTGGCCAGGATGAAAACCCAGGTCTGTCCGACTCCCCAACTTCTGCTCTTGACCACCACCCATGCTGACTTCCTGCACTGTGCTGGACAAAGTCAGCATACAGCCAAGACTTTGGGGCCAGAGCTGGACTGAGCCCTACCTGCTACGTAATACTGGGCTGCACCATCCGGGAGGGGCTTCTGCCGGTCACAGAAGGTATGCACGCCTGCTGAAGGGCTCTGCTTCATGCTCTTTCTGGTGGGAAGACAAACCATAGAGGTTATAGCCCCTGGCACTCCCCACTTGGGTAGGCCAGAACACACTTCCTGAAGAAAATGTATCTCTCCTGGAGAGATACAGGAGGCATGTTTTTTCCAGATCTCAGTACCCCCACAGGTCCGCCAACTAGACAGTTGTGGGCATACATGTTATTAGGAGGTCATGTCTACTCGAAACATTGGTTCATTATGGCCACCCTATCATCCCCATTTACAGAGGAGGAAGCTAAGGCTCAAGGTTCATGCCGAGTCATGTTTGTGAGGAATAGCAGTTGTTGCCCAAACCCACGAATCAAGGTAAAGCAGGCTGGACATCCCTGTACCTGTCCAGGAGTCCACTGAAAACCCAAGCTGGGGGAGCAGCTCAGGCCTGGGATTTCTGTAGAGGTTCTGAGTATATTTTACTTTTGTTTAGAAAAAAAAAAGAATAAAATAAAATTACATATACATGATTATAACTTTGTACAAATAATCACAGTAAAAGATTATTTATACAAATACTATATATACAATGATTTCTTTCAGGTGATGGATGATGGGTAATTTAGTATACTTTTCATATTTTACAAAATAAGCATGGATTAAAGTTTTTACTTATTTATTTTTTGTGGGACCCTTGCCGGCGGCCGGGGAATGAACCGGCACTGCAGAGGCTGTGGGCAGCCTTGCAGCCCAGCGCTCAACCACTGCACCACCAGGGGAGGCCCCGGATTAAAGTTTTTAAAGAACACAAAATTGAAAAAAAAACAACTCTCAAAAGGAAGAGGGCATGACAACAAGGGAAAGCAGGCAACAAGTTCCCAGGGATGTGCCCACAGGAAGAGGAGTTCATACCTGTGGTTGTGGATCATGCGAATATCGTAGAGTCTCACAAAGGGCCCACTGGCTCCAACTGCCAAGCAGTTATTGTCCTGGGGGTTGACAGTGAGGCACTTGGCCTCCACCAGCTGGCCACAGTACTCTGTCAGGTCAATCAGCACCTCCGAGTGTTTGCTGTTCTCCCGAAGGTCATACTGGCTGTGAGAGAGGACAGAGTCAGGGGCTGGGGACCTGGTTCTTACGTGGAAGGCAAGGTCATAATGTGCAAAGAGGATGGAGGGGAGGTTTGGACCTATTTGTAAATAATAGGGATGGCAAGCCATTTCTTGAGAGCCCTGTGTGTATCAGGCACCTGTAGTGGGCATCTCACACATTGCTTTATTCTAATAGAACTCCTTTATTCTAATAGAACTCCTTAAGGCAGATACTACTATATTGTTTATTATCACGACTATGTACTATTACTTCAAACTATTAACATTTAGTGAGAAAATGCTTTGTGTCCAGCATTGTCCCAAGTGTTGTACAAGTATTATCTAATTAAATCCTCACACCACCACAAGGCAACATTAGAACCCTGAACTCCACAGAAGTTAAGCAGCCTGTCTGAGATAACACTGGCAACAAGTGCAATTGGGATATTTTCTTAAGACTGCATTAGACCACTCTGCTCTGCTCCTTCTTAAGTCTACCCTTAATCTAGTTTCTTGCAGGAAAAAAAAGCATGGAGTGAAAGAAAAGAGAATCTGAGAATCTGAGAGTCGAGAGTCATCTAAACGCCAAGTACCAGGACAAGCTCAAGAGTCCCATCCAGGGGCTAAAGGTCACCCCACTGGTGCAGCCTGGGGAGATTTCTGCTGCCAGGACAAGGTTGTCCTGAGCCGGAGGACTTCACCTGTGTACTCACCCAACTTTGCCCAGACATGTGCGATGATGTCTTCACTGCTCACCTTATCTTCCTAAGCTATCCTTACCAGATGGTTTTTCCTAAAATATTGTTCCATTGCATCATTTTCCTGGCTCAGAAAATTGTAGAAACTGCTCAATACTTTTAGCATTAGTTTACTTTTACCAAATTCCTCAGACTCATTTTCAAGACGTGAGTTCACATACCTCTTAACTTTGTTTCTCAGTTTTCTAAATGTGGGTCAACTGTAACTACAGAACTCTTCGTCCAGTATGTGCCGTATTTACCTGTCTGTACAAACTCTGCCCAAGTTGGGGTGCCTACTTGCTTTTTCTTGCCCACCTAGATCTTGTCTATTCTGGAAAGCCCCACTGATGTTCACCTTCTTCCAGGCCCTTTCCTGACTGTGTCTGTGCCTACGTGCTTAGGCTCCTACCTTGGGCCCTAGATGCTCAGCTTTTTACCTGCTGCCCTGGCACAGTCTGGTCAGGCAAGGTCATTAAGTGCAACACAAAGTTGGACTGACGATTGACAAAGTGCTTTCTGTCTTCCAAGTACAGTCATGCGCGGCTGAGAAATGCATCATCAGGCGATTCTGTGGTTGGGCAAACTTCACAGAGTGTAATTACACAAACCTAGATGGCACAGTCCACTACACACCTGGGCTCTGTGGCATGGACTACCGAGACCACCTGAGATATGCGGATATGTGGTCTGTTGCTGATGGAAACATCATTAAAGGATGCAAGACTGTGCTATGCTAAGGTTAATTTTAATGCCCAGGCCAACAAGAGTGATACTACGGCAATTCCCATTTTATAGATGAGGAAACTGACTTGCCCCCAGGTCTGACTTCAGTGTCCTGCTTCTAACTGTTGTGTTCTGTAGTTCATTCACGATTTAAATACCTCTCCTCCTTTGTAACAGAGAAGAGGGAACAAAGTCCTATAGGAACTCAAGGGAGGCAATTACGGCTGGTGGGGAACATAAGGGAAAAGTTCTAAGGTCACATCTGACAAACTCCAGAGAGAGTTCACTAGCCAGTGACGGATACAGACCCAAAAGTAAACCAACAAGTTAAATAAAAGAACTCTAGGTGATAATTAGGGTCACAAAGGATGCATTAAGGGTGCTGAGGCAAAGTATAACAGGGAGATCTACCTTGCAGAGATGGTCAGAAAAGGTGCTTCAGAGGTGACTCTTACGCTGAAGTCCACAGGGTGAGCAAGAGCTGGGTACAGAGAATCCCAGGTGGAGGAAACAGCGAGTGTGAAAGCCCAGAGGAGGTAGAGACTGGGCATTTGAGGTGGTGAAATCAGGCTGGCAGGCCTGACTATAGTGAAGTGTGTAAAGAGGAGGGACGGTGGTGAGGGAGGTGGTAAGAATACGTTCCCAGCTAAGTGTGTTTACAGACAACTGCCCTGAACACAGATGTGGCTAGAAGCACCGGAGGCAAGGAGCCAGGCTGTGGAAGGAACAGCACAGACAGGTGGCTAGGGAGCTGACATGCAGAGGGGCAGGGGAAGGGCAGGGAGGCAAAGGCCCAACTCAATGCCTCAGGTCCTCACCGGATAAGCCCGTCCTCAGCGGCACTCCAGAAGGTGTTGGGCCACATGGGTGCCGTGGCGATCCGTTTCACCCGGTTTGTATGGTCTCCAAACATGTGGATCGTCTCCTTTACTGTCAGGTCGTGGACATGCACCTTGGAGTCAGCTGCCCCCGTGATCAAGATACGGTCCCCAGCGTGAGGCAGGAACTGCTCCGGAAAGATTGAAGAAGAGGTTGGCAGGCGGTGGGGGTAGGACTGGCCCTGGGACCACCCTGCATATTAGCAGCCTCTTTCCTTCTCTATATTCAGATAAGATCAGCCCATCCAAGGCAATCCACAAGAAAACTTTGGATCTAGAGCAACAGCCCATACACCTTCAGGTCAAAATCAGGACACACTTGAGGCCACACTGGGCCTAAGGAACCCTTTCCCTCTGACCCTTCCTTAGATAGAGCTGAATGGCTGATAATCGTAGCTGCTGTTATTTACTAAGCATTTACCATGTGTTACACACTAGGTCAAGTATTTATCTTACTGATACTTAAAATAGCCCACTAAAATTTGAAGTTCCGTACTAATAATTCAGTACCTGTTCAAACCCAAGTCTTTCTGACTCCTATGTCATATGGCCACATGAGGACTGTTTAGTAACTTGGGGATTAAGTAACCAATTACTCTAAAAATGAAAAGGACTTTCGGTGTTTTAAGAGTTTAAATTGGTTCAAATATTTCTGGAGAACAATCTGCTAATAGGAAAAAAAGATAAAAACTATGTCCATCTTTTGACCCCAAACTTCCACTTTGAGAATTCTAAAGGAAAGAAAAGGTCCCTAACGGAAGTGGTCAGAGTGGCACTCCTTCTAATCCCAGTGCTGCTACCAGCTCAGATGGCGGACCTTGGGGAGGGGCTGAGCCTCAAAAGACAATCTCCATGCAGCTTTTATACAGAAGAAAACCTACTATTCTGATGAAGTTGAGAACAAAATGCTCCAGGTGACATATGGTAAGAACAAAACAGACATAAACATAGCTTTTATTTATACTTTTTAAAAAGGATGAAGTTTTATCACCTTGTTTTGAGAAAGATAAATATCTGGGTGTGGTATTAGTTGAGTTTTCTTTTTTCCTTTGGTCCAAAGATTGAAATCATTTTTTTTAAGATTTATTTATTTATACAAGAGCTGGGGTACAGGCCAGAGGCACAGGAGGGTGAGAGAATTCACCAGAGACAGAGCAGGGAGCAGAACAGGCAGACAGACCAAAAACACTGCTGAGGGGAGCAGTGGGCGAGACAGGAGGGGTCTACCCGTGCCATGTGGGTATCTCCTGGCTGGCCGGGAATCGAAATGGTGCTGCAGTGGCTGCAGACAGCCTCACAGCACTGCGCTCAACCTGCTGCACCACAGGGAAGCCAAAATAATTTTTTTCTTAATTGAAAGTTTCTCCCAACCCACAAGGCTGAATGGGTGTTGGGGGTGAGGGAGGGAAATCATTCTGCATTTAAGCAGCTTAAATCCCACTTGACTTTAAAAATGTTCATACAAGAACAGCAATCACTCTTTCTACATACATCTCTCTAGTGGACAAGGGCTAGATGAAACAGAATTTAATCATTTAAAGGACAGCTAGTAGGTTTTAATCCAGTGTGGAGACAGCATAGACTACTTGTACAACAGAAGTAAACAGGCAGATACTTTGCGAAGTTTGTGGCTACTCCCACACTCACCCCCGCCAACTGTAGTTTCCACCAGGGGGCTCTTGGGCTAATGAATATGGCTAGTGGTTTACTATCTGAAGAGAGAATTCTCTTCCACACTTTAAAACTAAAGAGGAGATGGAGAGTCTGTGAATAAGTGCTTTGCCCAAGATCTTACTGTTAGGGAGTGTCAAAGCCATTGTCAAGTCATGGCGTCTGAACTCAAAGTTTACCAATTATTTAACTGTAACATCAATCCAGTGGATTGCTACTTTATTTTTAAAATTAATTTATTCATTTTTGTCATGAATCTGGGAGATTTTCCTTAGATATTTCCTTTTTGCAGATAAGCAAATAGGCTTAGAGAGGTCAGGAGATTTGCTTAGTTCACACAGCTTCCAAACAGTTCTGCCTGCTCTATAAATAAGTTTGTGCTCAGAACCATAGTGCCCACCCCTCACATAAGTGTACATTCAACTAGACTGACCTCTTGGCTCTAAGAGAGGGCGCAGAGCAGGGAAAAGGAATCGCCACCAGATGCTCAGATCAAGACACGCCTGACTCCAGGGGTGACAAGGGAACTTGGCACCGTGCCCACAGCCCAGCCACCCCAGCACTTGCTCTGTGGCGTATCTGCTTACCTTGACAGAGAAGATGTTTGCAGTGTGTCCTGTGTGCATGGAGAGCAGCTTCTTGTGGTGCAGTGGGTCCCACACAATTGTGTGCTGGTCATCGGAACCTGAAGCCAGCAAGCTGCAAATCATAGTGAGGGGTTCTGACCTCTCCTCGAGTTCCCAGGTTCCACTTTCCCACATTCCCGCTTGATAAGGAGTAAGACCCACAGAACTTAAAGAACAGTAGATGTCAAAGAATTTAAGGTTATCTTATAAACATTAGTTGATTGCCTTCTATTTTGCTTTGAGATTTCCCTTTATTCCTTAAACACATTGGCTTAATCAATAAAACAGGTCTGGGATGGTCGTCCAACTTGCCTTCTGTCTGGGACTCCTTGATAATGACAAGCTTAACTTAAGAACATAGCAGAGAACAGCAATCACTTGATGCCACTCTTGCTTAGATTTATTAAGAGGAAGGGAAATCCTCTCCTCCTAGCCTCCCACACCCTGCTCCAGCATCCTCTGGGTGTTTTCATACTTACTCTCCTTTCTCATTCCACTCCAGACAGTTGACACATCCTGAGTGACCCTAGGGAACAAATGGAAAGAACAAGAGGGCCAGTTAGAGGCTGTCCTGAGGAAATCAACATCGGGAAGTAGAACTGAACAGGTATGCTAGCCTCTCCATTCCCAGTATTTTCCAAGTGTAAATGAGTGACCAGAATTGAACTGAACTGCTTGCATCTGACAGTATCTGTCATATTCATGATCTCACCTGAGACTGACAGCTCTGAGTCACAGGGCAGGTTTAATTGATCCCATTTTGTAGAAGAATAAACTGGAATTCAGATAATAGTAAATAATGGGAGTGAAATTCAAACCAATTTCTGCTCCTACCACTAGAAGGAACATTTGAGCCATAGAAAATCTGCTCAGAGAAGCATCTTCCCAGAGCAGCCGATTAACTAGAAGGTTGTCTTTCACTCATTTGGCATATATTTAATTTACTGAGCACTGTATCAAGTACTTTTCAGGTGCTGGGGTACAGCACCTGGGGTATAGCAGTATATAAAACAAAGTCCCTGATCTTCTGGAACTTCAAATGGAGTTCCAGAACTTCAAATGGTGGAGCCGGGTATGCCAAAGTAAATTGAGCAGAGTCCTGAGATTGGGGATTTCAACAGAGAGACAGAGAAAGAGTAAGGAAGTTAACAACAGATGCTGAAGTTGAAAACATGCACAGAAAATTCAGGGCTCTGAGAAAACAGAACCCATGAAAAGCAGAAGGTATGAAGTGGCAGAATCGAGTCTTATGGAGAAGGGAGAACACGTCACCGGGTGTTCCCACATAGTATTCCTTCTGTTCCCTCACCGCCCCCCCATCTCTAAGAGATCTGGATTTAATTGTCTCCCTGCTCCAGATCAGACCATGTATTTCAGACAGTGTAACTCCACTGTTCTTGCCACTGTGATAGGTTCTTAGACCTAAGTCAAGAACTTGCTTGGACAAAGGGATTGGCTCACAATCAGATGCAAGGGGGCAGATGCTGGGAGTTTCTAGAAAAGGAAACTCCCAGAGTTAATAAAATAGATGTCTTTCTTCCTCTGCATACTGGTGTACTCATGTGACACCTGGAATTGCCACTACAAGGGAAGCAGCCTGAGCATGAAATCAACACACAGAGGAAGAGAATCAGAAAAACGGACCCAAAATCAAATTAAGAAAGAAAAAGAAAAATGGAGCCACAGTGACCAAGCTTAAGGCCTACTTGTGGGCTTCCAGGTAAACAAGCCAATCAGTTCATTATTGTTTAAAGCCACTTGAGCTGGGGCCTAAAGCATTCTAACTGATAAATTCTGACTCTCTCTTCAGTTTTCAGTCCTTCAAGATTCCTTTTGGGTCCTGGTAAATTTGGGAGGGAGGTATATACCCTTCTTATAGGCTCCCACTGTTACACTGTATTATGGCTCCACGTTACTTCCACGGGATTGAGCCCTGAGAAAGCAGGCTTTGTGTATTGTGTCCACTGCACCCTAGGCCAAGGTACAGTGCCTGGCATGTATTGGTTGCCTGAATAAAGAAATTAGTCCAGTGGGACTAATGGGAAGATTCAAGAGATATGAACTAATCTAATTATCTAGTCAGAAAAGACTTTTCCTTTGCCTTATTTTTAAAAAAAAAGATTTATTTATTTATATATATACAAGAACTGGGGTACAGGCCAGAGTTGGGTGGGATGAGAGGTTTCACCAGAGACAGAGCGGGGAACAGAACAGGCAGATTGACTGAAATACACTGCTGAGGGGAAAAGTTGGGGAGTCAGGAGAGGTCTGCTATGCCATGTGGGTAGCTCCCTGGCTGGGGATCGAACTCCTGCTGCAGTGACTGCAGATAGCTTCATAGGCTGCATTTTAACCCCTTGCGCCACCAGGAGGCCCTGCTCTGCTTATTCTTCCCTCTTACCCTTTATCCTATAAAGATTCTCATCTGGGTTGAGAATCAACCATTTCTAAGTTCATTTCTAAGTTCTCCACTTGCATTCATTACTGACACATTTATCTATCTGTTCAAACTTGTCAGATCACCTGCTGACCTGAGACCTCTCACTAGCTCATGGCACTTGGTTGACCCCCACACAGGCTCTGGTTATTTCTGGATCAGAATCATTTCTGTTCTCAGCCCCCTTATCCTCCCACTAGGAAGTACCCTGTGCCTGGGAGCTTACATCTTCAGCTCGGTATCTGTAAGAGTACAGAGGGCCTTGAATGATTGCCACCAAGGGCTTACAAAGAGCAAGGCACAGTGCTAAGTGCCTGCAGGAGGACCCTACAGATGTCCATGTCCTGATCCAGTGGAACTAAGAATATGTTATGTTAGGTGGCAAAAGGGGCTTTGCATATGTGATTGATGTTAAGGTATACTTGATATGGTGGAAGATTATCTTGAATTATCCAGAAGGACACAAAATAGTCATAATGAATCTTTAAAATCAGTGAGCCTACCCGGACTGCAGAGAACTAGAAAGATGTGTGTATAAAAGGAACTTGACCTGAGTTTAAAGATGGAGGAAGGGGCATATGAGCCAAGAAATGCAGCAGCCTCCAGAAGCTGGGACTTGCAAGGAAATGGATTCTACCCTGCAACCAGAAGGAACAGAGCCCTGGCAAGACTATCATGGTGAGACCTGCTAATCCGATCTTCAGGACTGTAAGATAATAAATGTGTTGTTGTAACCACTAAATTTGTGGTAATTATGGCAGCAATAGGAAACTAATACAGAACTCTGCAATCATTATCTTGTTTAGGAAGAACAGGTATCATTACTCATTTCCTGATAAAAAAATCAATGCTGAGAGAGGTTAGGTAACTGCTGCGTTACTGTGAGCTATCATAACAAATGTGTATTTGGTCTTCATCCCAATTTCTGGCACAGAGTTTCTAAGGAAACCCTGGGATTTCATAAGTGATAAGAGCAGAAAAGATATTGATATTGATAACAAACTCCTTTTACCACACCTGAGTTTGTTAATAAGGTTACTTTTATTTTTTAAAGATTTATTTATTTATTTATAGAAGCATTGGGTACAGTCAGAAGCATGGGAGGGTGAGAGAATTCACCAGAGCCAGAGCGGGGAGCAGAGCAGGCAGAAGGACCGAAGTACACTGCTGAGGGGAGCAGCGGGCGGCAGGAGAGGTCTGCGCGCCATGTGGGACCCTCCTCTGGTGGCCGGGGGCAGCCGGGGATCGAACCGGCGCCGCAGAGGCTGCGGGCAGCTTCGCAAGCCAGCGCTCAACTGCTGTGCCACCGGGGAGGTCCAATAAGGTTACTTTTTAGAAAGTATGCAAGGATGAGGCTGGTTGATAGGAAATCAATCACGTGATTGGAAGGTTGGAAGTTCCAGTGCTCCCCCACACTTCCAGCAGGGGAGAGGGATTGGAGGTGAAACCAAGCACCAAAGATGAATGATTCTATCAATCAAGTCTGTGACAGGGCCACCATAAAATCCTAAAATGGGGTCCCCGGTGGCACATTGGGCTGAGCACAACACCGTGAAGCTGTCCGCAGCCTGTGCAGTGTGGGTTCAATTCCTGGCTGGCCAGGGAGATACCCAAATGGCACCACAGACCTCTCCTGTTGCGGCCGCTACTCCCCTCAGCAGTGTATTTCAGTCCGTCTGCCTGTTCTGCAATGGGCTCTGCCTCTGGTGAATCCTCTCACCCTCCCGCGCCTCTGACTGTACCCAGTTCTTGTATAAAAAGAAATAAATCTTAAAAAAAAATTCCTAAAATGAGGTTTGGAGAGCTTCTGGGTTGGTCAGCATGTGGAGATTAGGGGAAAATGACAAGCTCAGAGAGGGCATGGAAGCCCTGCAGCCCCTTCCCACATAACTTGCCCTATGCATTTCTTCCATCGGACCATTCCTGAATTATATCCTTTAATATTAAACCTGCAATCTAAGTAAAATGTAAAATGTGTTTCTGAGTTCTATAAGCCACTCTAGCAAACTAATAGAACCCAAGAGGGGCTGCTGGAGCCTCTGATCTCTGCCTCTGTGGCTGGGTCAGAAACACAGGTGACAACCTAGGGGTGCAAAAAACATCTGTACTGGGAGGAAGGATCAATCCCCTTAAGCTGTGGGATCTGATGGTGTATCCAGGTATATAGTGTCTGAATTGAGTTAAACTGCAGAGTACTCAGCTGGTGTCAAAGAATTGGTTGGTGGTATGGAAAAAATAAACACACACACACAATGGATCTGCCTAATGTGGCACAGCTAATAGTGAGAGGAAGCAGAAATTTAACTCAAGAGCTTAGATTCTTAAATACTACCTGAGACATGCATACTTCCAGAATTATTACACAGCAGTCCTCAAGTGACATTGTTTTGTTATGACACTGATGAGGGAAAAAAAAATCCTATTGACTTGAATGAAAGGACTATTCGAGGAGCTGCTTTCATTACATTTTGTTTTACTTAAAGTCAGTTTCCAAGAATCTATGAATGATGTTAAGTGAGGACTTACTATATCTGTCTTCAGATCAGCAACCACTCAAAGTACAGAGACAAAGGTCAGTGTGGACAAACATAATACTTAAGATTCATGATGCAAAACAGCTTGGAGAAAATATACAAAGAAAGCTCAAACCAGATTTCTATAAAAATACAAAGTAACTACTGACAAAAAATATTAATAAAGGGCTTTATAAGTAGAAGCAGGCTTGGGAGGCTATTACCAGGAACAGAATGTTTATGAGGAGTTATTTTGACCTTGATAAATAGGTACACAATCTGTAATTTTGTTGAAGAATACAGTGGAAGAAAATATGCCGATGAAATAGCAGAATTAAATGTGATTAAAAAAGAAGGGGAGGGCCTCTGCAGTGGCGCAGTGGTTGAGTGCTGGGTTGCGAAGCTGCCCGCAGCCTCTGCAGCGCCGGTTCGATCCCCGGCTGCTCCCCGGCCGCTCCCCGCCACCGGAGGAGGGTCCCACATGGCGTGCAGACCTCTCCTGCCGCCCACTGGTCCCCTCAGCAGTGTACTTCGGTCCTTCTGCCTGCTCTGCTCCCCGCTCGCTCTGGTGAATTC